TGTGCTAAAATTTGTTTTGCACAACTAATACCCGCTTACAGTTTCTAATAGCTATAATTACTCCACTATTTAATAACTGTTAATGAAAAGAATATTTTCTTCTTCCAAACAAAATTGAAGGTGATCGAAAAGTCATACAGACACAGAATGAATGGTCCAAAAGAAATTCTCGATATTTAATCTTTTCACCCCAATATTTTTTGTTCATTATTGTTATAATTGTTATAATTATTATTATTATTATTATTTCTTCTTCTTCTTCTTCTTCAACGAATTTTAAACATATTTTCCCATAAATTATTGTAGTACTCTGTTCTTTCACAATGTCAGTTTTTTTTACCTCCCAGTTTCGTAAACTTCTTCAGGCACTGACCGCGGGCTCGACAAGTCAGGTAACGAGTTTAACAGTCAATCTACCAAAAAGTACATGGCATATTGTGAATAAAAAAGTTCTCGTTTCGATTCGCTTCCCAAAATCTGAACAAATGACACGCAGACTATTTCAAAAGGTTTCTTAGAGTCGGGACTGAACACTTTTCAGCACCTCTTCGCATATAGTAAGCAACTGTATTGGGCTTACATGGTGCATGACACAATAGGAACGATAAGAACGAAAAGAGTGTCATTTGGGAAATAAAATAATCGGTAGAGAGCAATCTGTAGATTCGAACCTGGGAATAACCTTTACCTTTATCAGCATAATTCATTAAAATTCAGTCTAAACCATCACTACGCACTTCCTTTGAAATCTTGTCAGGTTGATGAAAGTCTGGAATAACAATATCGGCCAGGCTTTTAACTATCTTCACGAAACTGTTGAAACCTCTAAAGAAGCACCATTGATGAAGAATACAATTACAGCCGTAAATAAATCCAAAATGTTAAATGCCTTGTTTATATCACTGTGGGAAAATGAATTAAATATCAATAAATATAATAATGAATATAAATAAGATAATAATTTCATTTTCCCATGAAGGAAACCGGAAATTTTATTATCTCAACTGGTTTTGCCAAACGCACTGTTTAAGTTCTTCCTTCGTCTTCCTCGTTTTCTCACACTTGCTCAAAGATGTAGGATGTCCCCATTGGTAAAAAGTCTCTTTTCTCCGGTCGACTGAACTCTTCCATTTTCCCTCGTTCAAACGTGTTTTGCCGAAAACTCCACCGATGAATTAGAACAAATTTTTACTTTGGTAGTTCCAACTCGGTGCAAGGCTGACTTAATCTTCTTATCTTCAACTTACCCTAACTTACTTCAAAACTCGAAAAATAAAATCCAATAGACATTGAGAACTTTGTTTCCCTACAGTTTCGACTATAAAAACGAATAAAGTTTTTGTTGCTTCTACATTAATTGTTTCTATGTGAACATGCCTATACACCTACAATATCACATAGTTGGGAAAGAATGAAAAATAAAATATTTCAAGGAACAGTTGATTGAAGTATTTTTACAGGGATACAAAATTTTATTCGAGCCAAAAAAACAGACGTATTAAAATGCATTTCATCACAAAAAATATTCAGCGCAAAATGGTAATACCAAAATATAATACTTATTAAAACAGTTAAACTGGTTTGATAAAAAAAATCGTTCACTACATTGTCTCGAGATTTTAGGAAAGTGGACAGTAATTAGGGCGCACTGATGTCAATATATGCAAGGATCCCAGGCCTGCTAAATTAGAATGCCTTCTTGGTTTTCAAATGTACACTTTGTCTCTGGATGTGCCATTTTCATTCTTTAAATTCGGTGCCAAGTGAAATTCTACAACAACAGAATCAACATCTGTTTGAAGTCACCTTTGTCGATGCAAAAGCAAATTCCTTAAAGAATCTTCAACAAGAACCGTTGATTCTTTATAGAGGATGCTTGTAAAAACGGAAGCAGATTCACCGTATATATTTGAGCAGCAATAAACCTATGAGTGAGAAGCTTTAGAAATTCCATCCAGCTTAATCTTTTTAGCGCTTCTTAGCTGGCGATCAATTCGACAAACCAAAAACGACAGCAAAATGCGAACAGAAGAAAGTGACACACAGCACCCTCCCAATGGGTCTAGAACCCTTAAAGAATGTCGTTCTATATCACTTTCTTTGCTTGTCTCTACTCATTGGGCTCCAGAAGTCATAGTGTCTACGGGTTCTATTCACATAGTCCTCAAGAAAAAAGGTCAGATCAAAGATTGTATAATTTTGTATGAAACAACCATCATAGACAATAAATTAAATAACGATTGATATTGTGTATAGTCATACCGAAAGATTAGTGAAGATGGGAGAAATTAAACAAAAGAATGCTCGAGTTATGCAATGGTATACAGAATACATTACACGAGGATGAGAAATGAAGTAGACAAAGGCTCCCTGGCCGGCTAAAAGCCGCTGTGAAGTCTCGGCGATCTAGATATGACGGTTCATATAAGAGACGCGGTGACGCTAAACAAGTAAATGAATATAATTAATTTCGGGCCGTATAAATTACAGTCAAAAGGTGTTTGTTGACTGTATTTAAATTAATTTCGGTTCAAAATTAAAGGTCTTTTATTTTTGTTTAGTGGCGAAAATTGAGTTTTGTGTGTTTCTGTCAGTTTGAAAGGATGTCGTTGCTATTTTTAGCACACAAGGGTCGTGACCTTTCTCTACCAGCAGGCATATCCGGGATTGTTTAAGAAAAGGTGTGAGTGGTGATTGGACACACTGCGACAGGTCTTGCTTTTTCTCTTGGATAAAGATTTTTTTGAGCGATTAGTAAGTATGAATATTGAAATATATTATAAATATTGGCCTTATAAATTAAATGTTAACTTAAATAATTTGTTTGAACTATTTTGTTCATAGTTTTTTTTTTGTTTTTTTTTACCAAATAAAAATCCTTTAATACTCCTCCTCAGTCTTTTGAACAGGTTTATCCCTGTGTACAACCGAGTGTCCAGTTCCTACTAAATTCTTCATTCTTTTTTTTTTCACTCCCAGTAGCCCCTTGCGTCTTAGTGGCTTTGCCATTTTGCTTGGGGGTGAATGAATTAAAAAAACAAACAAACAAACAAACAAAAAAAAAAACTTATGATTTAAATGCTAAGGTAGTTACCAATTTCAACAGAGAAAATAACTTTATTTAAATAAATAATTAAATTATAAAATACATCAACAAAACGATTATTTCTAAAGTACACAAAGATCAGATCGGACTCCTCCCACCAAACACACAGTCATGTATACCGATACGACAGATTTTGCAAATTATTTACCTTCAAATAAGGAAATTGATTAGTTTCTATTAGTTTTGTCACACACAAGAAGTATTTTCCAACTGATTTATAAAAGATTGTAAATATGGATTTTAATTACTTATAAAAATTGACGATTTATTTCGAAAGCTGATGAAAGATGACAACTTCGTTTGAGTTGTTAAGCGACCAACTAATAATCGATATAAAAAAAAAAAGATCTCAGAAACTGCCCCCGTTCTTTTCATATGTTCTAAATATCTTCTAACCCACCCCTTTCCAAATAATGTTTGGTTTAATTTGATAATTGAATTCGTAATTTGCAAAAATAAAAATAAATAAACAATTCATAGAGCCCATCACTAAACAAAGTTCTTGAAATGAAGCCCTACACAGAGAAATTTATTTCCCTGTATTACACTCCAACTTCCTATCATCACAAAACGAAAGTTAAATTCTTAACATTTTTGTTGTTGTGGTTTTAATTAAAATAAGATTAGCACAATTTTAATATATCTAAGTTCAATCACTGATAATTAAGAAAAAATAAACATCAATATTTCATTATTCTTGAAATAAAGTAAATACAATAAGAGTCGAAACAAAAGTATCTAAGGGAAGTAACTCATAGAAGTAGCAGTTCTAATAACTTCCCCTTGTTATGTTTTAACGGTATCGTTATTTTTCTGGCTTTCCTTAATTACCTTGTGACGATCATCATCATCACACACATACGTACATACTTATGCAAATTCAAATTATACAACCAAAAGCATTCATTGGATAGTAAATTAACACTACTGTGTAATGCGACAATTTTATAATCGACTTATTTTCATGTAGTCGATTTCGTGCATTTTTTCGGAGAATCGGATCCCAGAAGCTTTTCGTGAGTCTCCCCAAAGCTCGCTCGCTGATTGGTCATTGCCAACCAATCAGATTGTCTGCACGTGAAGAGTGATTCTTCCCGCGCAGCGCTTTCGGAGCCGATGATCACCTATATAAGCAAAGAAAAATCTTAGTAAACCAGTGAGATCTGAGCCGACACAGAAATCCACGACAGTTGAAACCATGCGTCAACCTTCTCACTCACACCATCACTCACATGCTGAATATTCCCTATACTCACATAACATTTTTTTCTTACTCAGCAAAACTGTTGAAAACATTTATTACGAGAAGCTATTTATTACATTCAGTGAACTTTGGAACAATTGATAGTTAAAGAAAGACAACTCTTGTTTTACTCAATGCATGCCTTTCTTTCACATCCTTGTTTGTACATTTTGTTAAATACAACTTTTATGTGTAATGATGTCTTTGGCTTATCCTCTTTTTCTTCACGTCAGTTTAGTTTCCTAATCTAAGTTAAATAAATGTGGTGAAGTCCGCCACAACCTTGTCTAATATCTTTTTAGTTTTAATTCTGAATCTGCCATCAGCAATGTAGTATAGGTAGTTAAAATTAAACCGGCTGATAATAAATCTCAACTGGTATCCATTTCGCTGTACAGGTAAAATAATTCAGGTGAGAAATCATACTTGCTGCATTTCTCTTTAACCCCTGCAATAAATAAATAAAAATAAATGTCAGATGAAACAGTCCGAGTTCAATCCCCGAAAGAAGAAGTGTTTGTAAAAAAGAATCGAAGATACGGATATGAACAAACAGAAGTTTATTACGTCAGTATGACAACAGGCTGATCTTCCATACGCAGCAATGACCCTTCGATCGACATTCGGTTGTTATACTCTTGAGAATGTGTTTCAATAAATACTCGTTTTGTTTAGACGTCTCTTGTGATCTATAAGGACATTATTATTAATAAATGAAAATATAAAATAATAACAATGACTATCATAAATAAAATAAAACAAATAACATTAAAACTTTGTTTAAAATAAATTAAGCCAAAATAAAAGCTCTCCCAGAATACAACAAACTTTTCCTGCTTAAAAACGGACTTCCCGCCAAAAACTCTGGATATCTTCATGGAATGTCAAGACGTCCATCTCCTTGGAACATTGCTTGTTATAATACGAAATGACTTCTTCATTTTATCAAATGCAACCGTGAAACACTTGTAACAAAAACACACACACACCAGTACACAAAAATAAATAAAATTGTATTTACAATTTAACATGCGTTTAGTGTTATTTCTGTGTATGTTTTATTTTTTTTATTATTATTATTCCTGTGAACACGAGGTTATCCCTACTGGTACAATGTGAGTGACCCTACAGATCTTTCAATAAGCAGTTTTGGTGTATGAAATCTTGTTTTCAATTAACAATATTTTCAGTCTTAATTGTTTTCAATTCACAATATTTTCAGTCATGAGCTAAAGAAAAACAATCTGAAGAGATTTGTCGTGATTGCTTTCTTTTTGATATAACTGAACTTAAAATGCAAATGCAAAGATTAGTCAACTGTTCGTGAAAATGTGTTGGCTGAGTTCTTTTTTTCATCACAGTTAATATAAAAAAAAAATGGTAATTAAGAAAAATTTCGTACTTTATAATTATTTACTGGGCATGAATTGAGACCCCCCCCATTGGATTAAAACGTATGTTTAATGTTAATGTGACAAAAACGTATGTGTAAATTTTGTTCATGTCTTGCGGATCATTTGAACTTTATCGTATGTGACTCTTACATTAAACAAGTCTGACCTAGAGTACTACCTCCCCTTTTGATAATATCAGAATATTTAATTAATTAAAAGGAGAGATAAGGTTGCATGACCAATAAATGTACGTATTCATAGTGTGTTTTGTAGATTAGATAAATAAACAAAATCTCAACTGTCTTACTTTTATTTTTATACTTCTAAGTTTAGGGAACTCCAGTTCTTCATTACAAACTCCAAAATATCCACTGCGAGGTTCGATGACGAAGTTACAATATTTTTGAGAAATTTAAAATATAAAAAATAAAATAAAAATCATAAAAACCTTAAACGATAAGATTGTTACATGCATTGCTATTTCGACGAATCTTGCTCACCTAAGTTATTAGCTTTACAACATTTCTGCCGGTGTACTCTCCGGCTTTCTTCATATGTCTTCGTAATCGGTAACCCTCTTGGAATTATACCAAGATCATCATACTGCAAGCAGACGAGGGTAAAACGATTTTGTTGAAATATAAGTTGTAATACTCAGTAAAAATTGGGTGGGGTGTAGCTACAGCAAGGTAAAGAAGGATCTGATTGCGATGAATTGATACAGGCAGCGAACCGATCATTGCAATAAGCTGCCACACAGGTACGGCCTTTCCAAAATTATCCAGGACGGCATGCCATTGAGGCCCACATTTGTAAGACAACATTCACTGGATAATAGCTGAAGTTCAATTTCTACTATCTACAGTGTTAAGATAGAGATCGTTTATTGACTGCAGTATTGGGCCAAACTCATAAGTGACGATCCAGACACAATCTAATACCTGTCCTATAAGCATAAGATCCCCTTTTGTCATTGTTTGTCTATCATATAAGGTTATATCATAAGAATCAGAGGATAAGCAGTGCTAATATCAGGATGGTATTCAAAAGTAGTTTTATCCTTCGAAGATATATCGCCCAAACCAAGACCATCGCTCTCAGAAGATAACATTAGCAAAAACTGTATGCCATCCCATGGACTTGTGGCAAGGGATACAAAATATAAAGGAGAGGCTAACAACCCATTAAATTTATGGGTAGAGAAACATCGAAAATCTGTTGCCCGAGGAAAAGCATTGAAATAAGGTATGGCTGATTATATATGGAGGTAAAAGGCTAGTCATCAAGAGTTGTGTAATGAAAGAACAATACTGGAAGTTAAGACGAGAAAAAGAATCAGTGTATATGTCAGGCAATGCCAACATCTTTAGTAAACCTACCATAGACATGATTACCATCGAGGAGCCTCTGATTAAGAAAGAAAATATACTCAACAAGAATTCTGCCACATAGATCACTACCTGATTATAGACATTAGATTTAAGACTCTAGAATGTCATGCTATTCTGCGGATTGAATAAACGGTTCGTTTCAGAATTATGAAACCATGCTCTAAACAGTTTGTCCCCCTTGCAATAATATAAGTCTGAAATTACAAGACGTTACCAACTACGAAGCCGAAGAGTAAAATTATCGTGTATGTTGGTCGGAATAGCAAAGCATAGAAGATAATTATTCATTTAAAATAATTTTAATAAAATGAAAACAATAAAAAATATTTTCATACACCTAATTATATGCTTTGCTTTTTACATTTGTTTGTTAAGGAGTTGCATTTTGATGAAAAGAAATCAAATTAAAACTTAGTGCTTTTTCCAACGATGAAAAGAGGATAGCTGCAAAATGTTAACGTATACAATCTAAGGTTGCATAACAGCAGACGTTTCAATCTGTGGTGTTTTTTATCGGAAGTAGAGTGGTAGATACATTTGTTTTGTCATTATCGCCGTTATTTGTTGAATTGTCCAAATATTTATCCGTGAGACTAGCAATTTCCAGCTGTCCATCATTGGAGCTTTGACCTTCATTCATTGCGACACTTGTTAGTGAACGACTTAGGTTTGTGTTCACAGATTTCGGAAAACGAATCTCTTGTACGTCCTGAAATGATGGATAAAAAGAAAATTTGCTGCTGTTAATAAAAACATTAAATATTCCAAAATTAAGAATTGTACAGTATCAGTAAACTTAGGTACCTTCATGGGATCTCTAAAAACAGAGCATAGCTTGATGAAAAAGACGCCAAACTTGACGAAAACAAAAAGTAACAAAATTTTAGCGTCTAAATGTTATTATTAAGAGGAAAGATCAAAGTACTTTTTAATTATTTTTAAAAATTTTCCTTCTTTTTAGAACATTCTAAATTTTGATTAAAAAACCTTGTTTCTCTTTGTGTCACCAGAACTAGTAAAATAACATAACATTTTAGCGCGTTTTTTTCCGTATGACACACATTAATTTTGAAAATCATGTAAAAATAAAAATAATTGTTGGATTTTAATGAAACTTTCAGAAATTATTCACAAATGATGGAACTTATTATAAATATGTTTTCCTTTTATTTAAAATTATGGCAAATTTTTGTTTTTCATATGTATTACTCCCCCCCCCCAAACTAATTGTACGATAACTCTATAATTTCAATTTTGGAAAGATTAGTGATTGTATTAGTTAAAAGCACAAGGCTTTGAGGAAACCAAATCATTTTTTTAGCTGGACCACCTCTACCTGAAAATCGTCTCTGAACAATAAACAAAAATATTATTTAATTTCAAAAGCTTTTAATTGTTTTTATTTATTTAAATGAATATGGACACTATTGTCTGTAAGCAAAAAGATATTTCGATGAAAAATGATTTTTTAAAACAATTATTTGTTATTTCTAAAATATTTTATTATTTTTACATTACGTCATTAATTCTTCTAAAATTAGGGAAAAAATTGTAGAATTTAACGAATGTCGTTATTAAGTAGATATATATTTACAGATTATAATTTCCAAAGCTTCTTACAAACTAACGAATAACAGTATATAAAAAAATATTTGTGTCAATAATAGCACTGTAAATCAAATCTACGGAAGACCGGAAGTATCATGCGTGCAATAAAAAAACGTCACGTGGATTGAGTTTGTCTAGTATTTAACTTAAATACTAAATTTTTAATACAATTATTTGTTATTTCTTTAATTATAATAGATTTTTACATTTAAGTTGTTAAAATATTATAAAATTAGTTAAAAGCCGCATTCAGTTTCGTAAAGTCCTTTTGAGAAACACGTGTGGAGAAGTTAATTTGATTTTTCAATTTCAACTGAGAAGGGTATCTACAAGTATCATCTTTACCTTTCTTATTAAATTTAATCTCACTTTCTGTCTTATTTTAATTTCTTTATAATATATTTTCCATAAAGCATCGTAAACGTAAAGGTGAAAGCTAAGTACAAAAAAAAAAAAATAAAAAATAAAAAAATTAGAGCGCTGAAAGTTATCCTTAAAAATAACGAGGTAAATAATTGTTCACTTAAATCTAAATAACTTCACTTCTCCCCTTCCGTAGAAGGAATTATCCTCACGTAAATTATCAAAACGTCATGAATGTCTTTCGTCACTTGTCAAGTGATGCGAAAGGTTATGACATAGGTTAAGCAAGATGTCTTCCGAAGCCGTGAATATGGGCGCAGAGCTGCGCAGGGAAGAGGTCCGTCGAGGTGGCGATCGTTATATTCGTGAAGTCAAAACCCCGGAAGGGCGCACCCTTCGGGCCACTGACGACATGTGCGAGGCGTTTCGGCGGCATTTCGAGAGCCGTTTTACCAGGGAGCCTGGTCTTCGTGAGGACGAGTTTCGCAGCTATTTGGCTGACTTTCCTCGGCTTTCGCCGACTGGAAGCGGCTAGCTGCGAGGGAGAGGTTACCGAGGGCGAGGTCTACGCGGCTTTGAAGAAGGTCGGCAGAGGCAAGTCGCCCGGTCTGGATGGTCTGCCCTATGAAGTGTACTTGAGGCTGTCGCACATCTTTGTCCCGATTTTGACGGTCGTCTTCAACAACTGGTTCCGGCAGGGGTCTCTCCCCGACCGGTTCTCCAGGGGTGTGATCACGCTGTTGAAAAAGGGCAAGGGTGTTGGGGGAAGCTAGACGACTACAGGCCCATAACTCTGCTAAACACAGAGTTAAAGATTATGGCCAAGATCCTGCAGGAGCGCTTGCAGTCAGTTGCCGAGTCTCTGTTGGGTCCCGAGCAGACCTGTTCTGTGAGGGGTCGAACAATTCAGAGCAACCTGCATTTGATCCGCACGATCATAGAGGGTGTAAAGACGACGAGTGTGCCGCGCTGATCAATTTGGATCAGTCCAAGGCATTTGATAGAGTTGACCATCGCTACCTTGCTACTGTCCTGCAGGCCGCCGGATTCGCACCCGACTTCTGCCGCTGGATTAGCCTCCCGTATCGCTCCCCCAGTGCTGTGGTACAGGTGAACGGAAAGCTGTCAGGCGCTTTTTGCGCTGTCTAGGTCGGTCCGTCAGGGTTGCCCGCTGTCGCCCCTACTTTACGCTTTGGCGTTGGAGCCTCTCCTTCGCCGGCTGAGGGACGGGGCGTGCAGGCCGGCCCTATGCGGAATCGCCGTTCCTGGCGGGGATCGAGCCAGGGTTTTCCGCGTACGCCGATGACGTAAGTGCTTTCGTGTCGTCCCGCAGAGGCATCAGAGCAGTACAGAAGGCGCTTGATCGGTACGAAAAGGTGACAGGGGCCAAGATTAACCGCGACAAGTCGTCCGGCTTGCGGTTAGGCGCCTGGAAGGGGTCGATCTTCCAGGGCCCTTCGGTTGGACGGACGGTCCTGTCCGCATTCTCGGAGTGTGGTTTGGACCCGACCTCCAGCTGGAGAAGAATTGGTCTGAAGTACGAGCAAAGGTCTACGCCGCCGGTCAGACTTGGCGTCGACGGAGGTTGTCCGTGAAGGGCAGGGCGGAGGTATGTGCTACATACATTTTCCCTCTTGTCCTTTATCGATTGTCCGTACTTCCTCTCTGTGACGACCACAGGACACCGCTCGAGCGCGCGCTAACCTCCATTCTATGGAGGAGACGCGCGAATCGGGTCGACAGAGAAGTCTGTGCACAACGTCCGTGTCATGGGGGCTGGGAATGCCACACTTGCTGAGCCACAAACGTGCCTCGAGGTTGGCTTTCCTACGCCGCGCTTTGACAGGTGGAGATCCGATTATTGAGGGGATTGTGAGGGGCCGCCTTCCTCGCCTTACCATCAGTCCCCCAAGCTCGCGGGTGGATCGCCGTCGTAAACCCCGGGTTCAATCGGTTTTCTTTCGCGAGTGTCGGTCGGCCTTGTTGGCTGTCCCTTGGTCCAGTGACCTTTCTCGGCCTAGAAAGGACTTCTATCGTTTGCTAGTGGAGGGGTCGCGAAGGATCCACTACGTGAGGATCTCGACATGTCGGATGATGAGTTTCGCTCTCACTGGTCTTGGGCGCCAGCGGCGATTACCTCAGTAACCCTGAGTTTTTCGCTTACCTGGCGACTGGCTCGGAATCGGCTGCCTCTCAACGACATGGCCTTCATATGGGGCTTGGCGGACTTGCCAGACTGCGATCGGTGTGGCCTTGGTCTAGAGGAAACGGCTTCGCACGCCTTCTTCCATTGCCCCCGTGTCCGCCCCTTATGGGACTATGTCGGCGAGCTGACGGCTCGTCTCGCTCCCGAAAAGCTTGTGCCCATGGATCGTGCATACGCGTGTGACAATGTGTCGCCCCGTATTCCGGGGTGAAACGGATGGTGTTTCTCATGCTGCTAGCCACGGCCCGAATGGTGATATGGACGACGCGAGAGGAAAGTCTTGCGGGGGTAACCGTCTTTCTCATCAGGATCTGATCCGATTCTTTGAGCATCAGCTCAAGACGAAGATTAGAACTGATAGAAAACGCTTGCATTCGACAGTCTTCAGCGAAAGGTGGGTGACTGAGGCGAGCTTGGTTCGTGTGAACGGGGCTAGCCTTGATTTTCTGTTTTAGGTCAAGCCTACGTTACATCGGGGGTGGCTTCCTGTGGTGCCCTCCCTTGGTTAGGTTAGACAAGCCTTGGTGTACCTAGTTAATGCGAGTAAGTGTTGTTCCCGGCCTGCCCCCGGCCACATCTTTAGTTATGATCCAGCCTGAGATTCCCAACCTCCCCAGTTTGTTTTTTGATCCCCACTTTCTATCTCGACTGGGTCAGCTTTATACTTCCACATGCCCGTATGATTTTTTTATCACCTTTCCCACTCCCTTAGCGAGAGAGCTGCTTGATTTTGTTCCAATGGGCAGAATACAGTGGTCTCCCCTGCATTTTGAGGGTTGGAAGGGCCCTACTAACATCAGTTAACGTTTTATTTTCATTTATGTTAATATTTTAGTTTGTTATTGGGTTCACATCCCACCCCATCTCATTTTTTCATCTTAGAATTTTTGTACATATGTGTTAGGATCATTATGACATGGGGCGCGTTTTGTAGGTCTCCCTAGAGTGGATGTGGTATTATGGTGCAAGGAGGATTGATTGATGACGGACGAGTTCTTATGGTGAATGAGTAAATTGTAATGTCTGAATGGGTCGTGAATCAAATTAGCTAGGTATAAGATAGTTAGTGAAGACCAGCCCTACCCCCTCCCCCTTTTCGGCCTTGTGCCACAATTTTGTATTTTTTACAAAATAAATCCCGGTTATGACCTGCTTTGTTTTATTTTCAAACTACGTCTTTTCGGAGGAGAAACTAAGTTAAGCTTGGTTCAAAATTATTTTAAATATACATTATAATTTCTGATTTTCTTAAAATAAATTTTGAAAAAATTATAATTGATTTTTAAAAGAATTTCAAACTGAGATTTTCATTTTTTTTATAAATTGGAAAAAATGGCTGACATGATCGATTATCTGTCAATTTTGCTGACTAAAAAAACAAGATTTTTAACGAAAATTTTGAACGTGCTAAGAACGATTAAAAAATGTAAAAAAATACTCCCAAAATACTTTGATCTTTCCTCTTAATAATAACAAACATTTAGATGATAAAGTTTTGTTTTCGTCTAGTTTGGCGTCTTTTTAGTCTTTTTAGCGATCTCATGAAGGTACCTAAGTAAACTGATTTTACGGCATCCAAATTTACAGATGTGCTTTTCACTAAAGAAAAATGAATGAAATGACATCTTGACATTCTGACACATTTAGAAATTAAAGAAATAATTCTCATTTAGACATTTTGAAGCCGTTGAATTGAAAATTAATTTAGAAACCGAATAGAACAACTATAAACATTTTTAATAAAAATAAAAAATATTAAAATTGTATGAGAAAATTAAAGTGTTGGAATTGTGTAAAAATTAATATAGAAATTAGGTAAAAAATATTAAAATTGTTTGAAACGCTTAGGAAATGTTGGAATGGGTAAAATTTAACAAAAAAATTATCTAATAAAACACATAATATCAAATTATATGAACAACTAATTAAGAAAATTAGAATATTACGAACAATGTTTCTTAAAAAAAATCCGCCATAATGAAGTCAAGCAGTTTACAAAAAAAATAAATAAATAAATAAATGAAATAAAATAAAATAAAAAAGAGGCTCAGCTCAGCCAAATTTAAATTACAAACGAGTGCTGTTTAACTGGATAGTGATTCGTCTTTTAAACTTCTGGGGATGATAAAAAATACGTCCCCTACGAATATGGTTTTTGATTCGGTTGAAGTTAAATTTTGACTGCAAAGTTTTACCACATCATGGCGAGAAAGCCGTAATGGGACCAGAAAGTATTAGCTCATCCACCAAATGTTTTTTTAAACATCGATGAACATTTGTTATGTTATTGCAGACATGCTATTGGTAGTATGCATAAAAAAAAAATTAAAAAAAGGGTAATTATCTTCCTATCGCAACACATGATGTTGGGACTTACGGGTGTTGCTAAAGCTTGAAAAGGGGAACAGATCTTGCCGAATCGAGCCATTTGTTTTGTATTAATGTCACCATACAATTGTCGACGGTCCTGACGATCCATCTTCTTACGAGCCAAGTCCTTGGCAACACGCACTCCCAGAAATGGCTAAAACAAAGAAAATCAGACAAAAGAAGAAAAAAGTAGATACGTGGAAACAAGTCAAAAATGGAAGTAAAAACAATTTTATTCAGGATTCAAGAAACAAATAAAAACTACAGGTGAAATGACGTGAGCGTAGTTCCACAAAGGAAACTTGAAAAGGGAGAACGTTATCCCTAGTAGTCAAGAACATGTTCATTGTAACAAACTACACCAAGGCAAGCAAACCTCAGCAAAAGAGAAATTCAACTGTGGTGAGATTAAATTGTTAGTAAGATAAATGAATGTAGCAATTTAGCTAAGAAGGAATATGAGATTATATATACACTATAGTTCAAAGGTTTGAGTTGCACTTTAAATAAGAGAACATTATTATTCATGGTTAAAAAATGTGAGACATGATTTATTAGAAATTTTATTGTGACTAAAAGAAAAAAAACTGATTAAATTTTGCTCTCGTCAAAATTACCCTCCTTTAACCTTGATTGGTGCAGCACGATTTTTTGCCATTCGTTGCAAAAATTTCTCAAAGTACAATTGCAAAAAACAACCTATAAGAACATTTCTAAGACCGATTTCCAAGGTATCTTTCCAGTGGACAAAATCCGTTAGCATTTCTAGTGAAAGTTTTTTTTTAACATTACATCTCATAAAAATGGAGACAGTTTTATATATGATATTATAAGAAATCTTACTCGGTGATTTTCAATTGAATCAAAGTTGAAGAGATTAGGCGTTCGCTCTTGTGTTTCTTTACTTTCACGAGGTGTTTGCAAAGTCGTCTGCTGAGGGACTGACGTCATTATTGGCACCGAGGGTTGCTGTTTAAAGATTAAAAAAGTCAAGTCAACTTAATATTTTTTCGATGGAGTCTATCTTTAATGAAATAAGCAAAAGTTAACCAGATGTCCAAGGTTTTTTGGTAATCTCTTCATTTATATAATGGGAAACACACACACACACACACACACACACACACACACACACACACACACACACACACACACACACGTATATATGTTTTAGTGAAATTGGAGTAGATTTGAATAGCGAAATTAAATCAGAGCATTTTGTTTACTGATGGGGAAATTGTACTCATTGAATCTGAGTCATCAGTAGACAATGGAAATGGTCGAAATAATTTTTATCGATTAAAAATTGAAATAGAGCTGAGTAAGCTAGAAGGAACATTGGAATTCACATGATTTTGGTTGATGCAGCCAGAACCCCGTGATAATCGCGTGCGAAGTAGTAGGGCCGTGGGTCAGTTATATTCAGCCGGGTTTATCTATATAAACGCGTAGTTATGCTGAAAAATTCAGACTGGAGAAAATTCTTGAAGAGAGAAGAAAGAATTGGCCCGAGCAAGCGTTGGGAGGAGGAACGCCACTATAGCTTTAAGCCCCGCAAAGAAATCTTTATCCCTCCATCACAAGCGTCATATATCGTTCCGAGACGATTTAACAACAAGTTAATCACATACCCTCTCTCTGTGTCTAGAATCCAGTGTATGAGTTTTTACGCTAAATACTTTTCTTTTCTGTAACCCGTTTCTTTTCTCTACTCTGCTATATAAAAGACATTAACAATTCAACCATTGAATCGATGTTTGTCCGGTTTTCTGCAGATATTAATTTTTTTTTCCTGCATTCTAAATTTCTTAACGTAGACTCCCCAGCCTTGTCTACATCTTCAGTCGATTGGGAATGGACGGACGTCACTTCTGTTTTTTGGGTCAAACAAATCACAGCGTGGGCAGGAAGCAGTATTAAACCAGCGGACCGGTCGAATAATCTACGGATGCTCAGGGGACCTATGGCCACTCCCTTAAGTTCGGTTAGGGCTGAGTAGACACCTCAACCAAGAGAGTAAGACGTCGGAGGTTGAGGGGCTGGGACGAAAGTGTTAGATAAGATCGACCTAAATACTTTATTGAAACCATATTTCTTTAATGAAATATAGTCCAAGACGTGTATTCTTTTCTGAGTTTTACTCAAACTTCATAACAGTAATTTAATCCCGAAACAAATGTTCAAAGGAAAGCCCCCCCCCAACCCCCAAAACACACACACACACAAAATAGTACCTGCTGCTTGACATTCATATAACAGAATAGAAAGTTGCATTAATAATAGTGAACGTATATCACCAACAATTGTTGGTCAAAACGAAGTATGGAACATCTGTTCAAAACAGAATAACTAGATAAACTGTCAAGATAAAAGGTAGGCATATTTAAATGTTGAGAATAATCGATATTTGTCTTTACCAAATTAAACGAATTGATCAATAAACCTCGCCTTAACTCATTTTTAAAACCAATAACTTGAAAACGCTTTGATAATGAAAAAAATATGTTGACCTCGAAAAATGTTTGTTTGTAACCAATATTTGATTCAGAAACAAAAGTTAAGATTATTATTTTTTCTGTCTATATGATTGTCTATATATCTACAGGGTGGTTCGAAAGTCTTGTCACCCCCACCTCTCTTCCAAACTGTAGGAGATTGTGTCAGCTATCTGAAATAGAAAATTATATTATGTATGGGTAACAAGACCTTCGGACCACCCTGTATATCGACTGGGTCTCACCGTGAAGAGTGGGTGTGATATTGAAAGACCCCAAACCCGCTAATGATCCTCAGCTAAAACATCACTGATGATGTGTGCCAAAGCATCAAACAGATATATTTCACGAAAATCATAAGTTTCTTTATACTTTAACTCTTTAATTCTATTGACCATAAAACGAACTATTTATCGTATCTGCTTTCATATATACCTTATTTTCTTGCTTGAATGGGCAGCAACAGCTACTTTCAGAATTCTTGGTAAACAAATTCAATAATCCTCATATTCATGTCAGCCTAGAATTTTTTCTTTTTTTTTTACATGTTTATTTAGAAGGATATATTTTTTTTTAGTTTTACTTTCAATCCTTTTATGAACAAATCAGTATGAATCATTTAAGAAAATAAAAACTGTCCAATAATACACCAGTAAATATTTTTAATACAGATCTTAGATGCCTTTGTTTCATTATTATTCGAATTACTGAAAACCTGAAAGTGTTCAATTTTTTTTTGCTGGGGTGTGGGCTATTTTTCAGTTGTATTTCTTTTATAATAGCAATTATTACAGTAAATAAACTAATAAATAGGGTATTATTTAAAACCAATTTATTTACATTTTTACAACGTTTTTGTATATATAATGTGTGTGCGCGGATTTTCATAGCAAATTGCCTTATTAAAGTGAATGTTCGTAGAAATCGTCAGGCGTCTGATATAAAGATTCATAAATTTATTAAATTACTCTTAATTTACACAAAAAACGAAAACGTTTTAACTTAGGAGCTTGCATGTCAGTGAGGATATATTTGCTTCGCTTATCTCCTTAGTGAAAGAGTCGCTCGACAAAGACTTGTGTGGACGAGATTTGTATATATATATATATATATATATATATATATATATATATATATATATATATATATATATATATATATATATATTTTAGTCCCGCAATGATTATGCATTTAAGTTTTTAGATGAATTTGTAGTGAGTGCAAATAAGTCCCTTCAAATTGAAAGGACTGAGGAAGAAGAGAGAAAAGAATTCGTGAGCTTATGTGAAGTTTTTAGACCAACGAAAATCTTGCCTTCACAGCTGGTTATCCAAGAAGAAAAAGTAGTGAGCCTACGCGGGATTTTTTTAAATAAAAAGAGACAAATTAAGTTAAAAAGGAGATAAAAAGAGAAGTGTTTGAAGTCATGTGAGAGGTTTCGTTCAGGGTTCCTTGCGATCTGCGTTAATGTTCTCGCCAGTGTAAAATTATTCGCCAATTACATTATCGGCCTCTAACCAAGCACGCAGTACTTTAATTTTATCTTAACAATCCAAGAAAGCTAAGCATTTCAAAATTCGTCTACTTTTGAATGTACGCTAACCATATATCCTTTCGGTGAGCAACGAACTCTTGCCTTTGTCTTGACCATTTTTGAATATTATTATGTGTCAGCTCGTTTAATCTGTTGTATGAACATTTCCAGTTCATGACAATACGTTAAAACTATGGAATTCTTATTCATTTTCCAGAAACTAGCTACTTACGCTACTTAAGTTTTTGAATTTATTTAAACTAGCAGTGATTGTTTGAAAATCTTTATCCCACGGAGTGTGTTTTCTAATTTTTAATCTTACTTTAAATGAAAATATAACGTTTTTGTATGATTTCTTGAAATACCTTTGAAACCTTTATAAAAGAGCTATTTGATTCATGCATTTTGAATAGACATAATATTTTTGTTGCTTTTTGTCCCAACTCAAATAATCTTTTCGTAGAATTATGACGTAGACAGCACGGCGGGATATGAATTCACATTCCTTGGGTGGGGGTGTCTTTCCTTGATAGCGCTTTACCGATTAGATAACGAAGGAAATACATCAGAAAAATCACGAAGAGAAATTTCGTGAAGTGCATAGAAATTTCACGAAATAATGCTTTTATTGTTACTCAAGGCTTATTGTCCTTTATCTCCCGAATCGAAGACGCAAGTGGAAAAATTCATTCATTTTCATTTGCAATATTTAGAGGGAGAATCTGAGATTGTTTCCCTTACTTTCATAAAACTTTCTAACTAGTGAAAGCACTTCCTTACTTTCAAACCAAGAAGATGCACAAACGAATCGTTATTTTTATATTTTTATGAATTAATCAGTTTGCAATGGAGCCGAAATTTGTCTATTTGCCACTATCGACATATAAGAAAAGCTAGTATTCTGAAGATTGATTTTCAAACAATTTTCCACATTTGAAAATTGACGCATCATAGTCTCTATACATAAGTAGCCTTGAAGAGAACTTTGGAAAATATATTTAGGTGCGTCACACTGTTATCCCATACGGATATAATTAAACATTGGTTTCATTCAGAATTTTGTTAATTTCTTTTAAACAGGGTTTCGGAATTATAGGCGGGACTGCCAACTCAAAGGAAAGTTTAAATATTTAATTTTTAAGACAAGATGATCAGAACAATGAAATAATTCGTCAGATTTATGTAAGTACAAAAAATCTTGCGAATATAGTGAAAGAACTGTAAAAATTACAGACTGAGTTTACAACCCTGATGAGTTGTCGCTTTATTGTTCAAAATTAAAACTCAAACTAATTCTGCCTCCCGAGAACCAATCTTGTTTGAACTAAAATTCGTACCAAGTTGCTCACACGCATATACACATTACATAAAAAAAAATGTTCATCCAATTGCAAAAAGGGAAGATGAGAGACAGATCAAAACAGAGAAATTAATTGTTTGTATGTCTGTCAGTCCAGTTAGTATTCTGATTTCTTTGCATCAACAGATTTCGAGCAAATTCGAATATTTAAAACGGATTTATATTTTTCAAATTAGAGAAAAGTCAAAAATATTTCTTGATAATAATTCTGTTAAAAACATGTACGTTTTATTTACTGACGTTTTATCAGTTTCTAACATTTGTAACACGTCATTTACTGTCTTAACAGGAAGTTGAAGACTGATTTCAAGTTATAGAAACAGTACACTAAAAAATTAAACAAGGCCAAAACAAAGCAGGTGTTTAAACAATGAAGGATATTTTTCAAACAATGGTAACAACCCCCTTTTTAATGTAGATAAACTTTTACACTAATCTGCATCATAACTGAAATATATGAATGGTTGCCGTTTGCGTCAATGAATTGATGTTTCAAGCCTCCAGGATTTCCCGAGCAAACTCATTTTCAGACTTCCACTGCCCAATATATTCGTGTACCTGTAAAATCTAAATGCGTACCAAAAATTAAAAACAAAACAAACTTAGTTACCTTTATCGGATCGGAGGAATTTGAATCTTCCCGAATAAATGAAGGAACGCCGTTAATACAGACTTGAGGTTCCATATGAGTAGTCCTTTCTTCGATATCGGATTTAAATTGAGCCACAACATTTCGTAAAACCTTTTTCTTTGCTTTGTGTTTTGAATCTAAAGAACAGTAAATGAAGCAATTCAGTTTCAAATTGAGAAAAGATGAATTTCAAATAGCCTGTTAATATATTGTTGTTTTACTCGAGAAATACAATGGCGATAATTCGCATTTAAATGCTAAAATGTTTTTAGCATAAAAAACTGCAAATAAAAAAATATCCGCTCGCTATGGCATCCGATGAATACGCAGAATTAAATATTTGCCATGAAAATGTATTACAAAAAAAAAAGGACCAATATTTTACTTTTTGATGAGGCAGGAAAAACGTTTATGAACACCAAAGTTTATTGCGGAAATAAATTGTAATTTTATTATGACTACAGAAACACTGTCACCCAAGATTTGTAATCAGCTCAAAATATCATTTGGACAAAAAGGCTGAATGTAAATCTTTATAGTTCGAAATGTTGCAGGATGTGACACTATTGTGACACTGGTAGTATAAAATTAGGATTAAAAGGTTTTATGAGAAAACCACGTATAGAAATTAGAGAAAATTGGAAGGATTAAAAACGTTAAAATCGTTAAGGTGAAAGCATGAATTGGTGAAATATGGAGCAAGGTAAAAAGTTTTTCCTGATAAACTGATGGGCAAATGGAATTGTTATGAATCCGTAAAGCCGGAATGTAAACAATGTGATTTTAATCAGTCTAAAAATATTTTCTGAGGAATGTGAAAATCCTTTCACATCAGAAAAATAGAAATGATCTTTAAACAAATTTGCTATCGAAAAATTATTGTTGTCGGAGAATGTATTGTTTTGAATAATTGACCTTTTATTTGAGGGCCAGTGTCGTTTCTCCAAGGTTGAAGAAAATAATTGATATGAATATTGTTGAGTCCTGATGTGCGGTAGGAGTAGGGTGAAATACATATAAACAGAGCTTATAGTTGGCAAGAGACGCAGACAAACGGAGACAGCACCGGAAAAAGGAGCTACTGAACACCACGTTACTTGCTGCCGACAGAATTCCCGACCGTTGTAGAGAGAGAGAGAGAGAGAGAGAGAGAGAGATTAATGGAAAGGGGTTAATTTTGTTGTAATCAAAAACTCTATAAACCAAAGCTTTATTTCATTAAAAGCGGAAGCGTTCTTTGTCCTTTGTAGCACGGTTCCGCTGCAGCTTGTTTCAGCGCTCAAGTACGGACGAAATTCGATCTTCACTGCTCTATGATCAAGGAACACAACGTGGAGAAGGGCAGATGAAGGAACGAAGCGGCCAGATAACTATCAGTTGACCGGCGGCAGTGCTGAACAGCGTGGGAACAATCCAGGATAGGGCCAGGTCAGTCGTGTTATAGGAAGTCATTGCTTAGAACTAGACTATTGAGTCAATAAGAGATGGAACTAGAAGTGTGACAATTCATAGATTGTGTTTTACTAAAAATCTATAATGCGAGTTGAAGATGGTCAAGGTATTCGAAAACTTATGATGGACACCTTACTCCTGTTTAATGGTTCACATGCTTGTCTCGCATAATTAGTGAGTTCGAACCATATTGTGTGCCCCATATTTATAGCATTGTTCCTAAACAAAGTAATATTTAGTACATTACTAATATAGTTTTACTCACCTTGGTTGATATTCGTTAACTCATAAGCCCAGGTTTTGGGTGATTTCAAATTCCATAATTGTTTCTAAAAAAAAAAGTCAATGGTTAAAGATATACTTGGAAGCAATAAAAAATTCAATCGGGTTTATAATCAAATGAAGCAAGTTTCGCTTGTTTTCTTATAACTTTTTTTCAATCAAGAGAATCTTCACTTATATCAAACGATTATTTTTAACTAAATGTTCAAATACACGGCCCAAGAGTCACTCAAGATAGAGGGTTACTAAATGAAATTGTTGTATGGACATCAGAGAAGGAAGTGCATATGCGAATTTATAGGATAGATAACTTGACTCTAGACTTGAGTTTAAGATTGTAGTGGCCGGGGAAGCATACTCTCGGGAGTGTTTTACAAAGTAACGGTTCTCGGGAAAAAGCTCTCCGAGTAGAACTTCCTTCTTAACAATAGAATACAAAGAGAATGAAGATGATTCAATCCTGTGTTCGTGGCATGGCGAGTCCTAGCTATAAAGGTTTGAACTGGTGAAACTAAGGATTGTAGCTCGTCTGGATATTTCCATGGAAATTGTGAGCGAGTAGTGATAGAATTGCTACGTTTTTGTCTGTGGAGAAAGGGGTTGTAGGATTGAAAATAATTGCCCACAAGGACGCGTAAACGCTCTTGAATTCTGTCAAGGTTGGAAAGTGGGGATTACGCAGCAATACTCCGTTTTCAGTCTGAGCTGATAGAACTCAGGAGGAACCAGATACTTTTTGGAGCGGTACGAGGAACCGACAATTTTTCCAGGCGTGGGGGATGAACTTCAGTTCATCATAAGAAAATTCAGTGTTTTCTCGTTAATAATAGAACATTATAGTGTATAAAGTCAAAGAAAAAGGTGAGAGGAAGAAAAGGCATGACCAATTCGGTGTGTGACGGAAATACTTTTTGACAGTTTATTTCTATTAGTTACAATTCATACAATGAAACATTTGTGATCAAATAAATCCCATGAATTATTATTTGAGCCATTTTAATGTTTCTTATTTTGCTTAAATCAAACAATGTTCTAATGTTTTTTTTAGCGCACGAATTATTTCTTGTGTCAGTTGATGATGACCATCATCAAAAGACCCTTTACCGAATTTCAAACTATTTCAGGGGGACAAAACGTGAGAAAATGATCTTTACTTAATTCTACCTCCTTAATTTGCATTAGTTTTGAAATAAAAAATGAATGGAGTTGTTGGTGGCTAATCATATGGAACGTATATTACAAAATTTTTGTTGGAAGGCTGTGAGGTACTTTCTGACTGACTGTACAGAGTCAAACATTCCCATATAAATTGTTTTATAGAGGCTGGAAGAAATGAAAATCGTAAGCCAAGTCAGGAGAATATGGTATGTGTTGGAGAGTTTCACATTTTGACTTAGTTTCTCAAATGTCAATTTTGCTACATGTGGAAAATGACACCGTTTCGATTAGCCAAAATCGGACGATTTTCTTGAATAGCCACATTAAGAATGGCGCGTTAGTAGCAATACTTCCTTATAGTTATTGTTTTGTCGACAGGAAGAAGCTCAAAGTGAATTATCCCTCTGCAATCCAAACGGATGCAAGTCTACAGGTTCTGCACATTCACAATTCCATTCCGTGGCATAACAGCAAAGAAATCGCTGCAGAAAGATAATCGAGCTTATTCTCTTAGGTCAGAAAGTGGCACCCACGTGTTGAATTTGGAAACGAACGCAAGTCTCTTAAAATGGCGGAAGGTGGTAGAGATATCGACTTTCAAACTCTTAGAAAAATCTCTTTCGTCGAAATCATCGGTTTATTCTTCACTATGACAAGCAGAGCGTCTTCGTCGACGCCGAAAGGTCGCTCGGAGTGTATTTGATTAAAACCACCCTAACGAAATTTGCCAAACCACTTTTTGACCGTTCAAAGAGCTGGAACACAACCCAAATAAACCTTTCAATGATTTTGTCGCAGTTCCGACGCATTCTTTCCGAAATTCATAGATCAAAATATGGCGAAAGGGCAACTTTTCATCCTCCATCTTTAAGGCATTCAAAACGTCAACATTCAATAAAGTCTGACTCACAACTAAAAGATTCAAAGGTTTCAATCTAAACCACACCAGAAATCGGCACCAAAGCAAACGCCAGTGTCAAGTTGCGGTCATTTTATATCAATGAAAATTAAGCACGGACTTTTGCAGTGATCTGATATTTGTGTCAATGCGTAGAAATTTGAGAAAATTATTATATGATGTTTGCCTGAAAAGTGTTTAAACATTGAGAACCGTTGCGCAACTTTGATTAAACTATACTTTGGAGTTGTCAGTCACCATTGAGAATACCATTAAGCAAGCTTAATTCATGGTAATCAATGGACCTTCTTATTCTTGTAATATCTTGCTCGACCCAATTCGATCAGCTCCATTCTGATCAGATTTGGCTCACTTCGATTTAACTTGACTGTAATCCCCAAAGAAAACTTTGCAAATTGATTTTAAAAGGTGGAATGGACGCTGGGATAAATGTGTAAGCGACATGCCAAAGTAGTATTTTGAAGGCGACATTACCCTCGGTGGGCCATTGTTTCATTCATTTTCATTGGCTGGATCGCCTACAGATCGCTTGTTTTTTTTTTGTTTTTTTTTGTTTTGTTTTTTAACAGCGTATCATCTTTACAAGATACAATGTAAAAATAAAAATTCCTTTCTAACCTGGGCTTAATGTAGACGGCTATATATTTAATTCTTTCATTTAATTAATTTTATTTTTCGAATTGTTTTCAGTAGATCGATTTCACCGACAAAAGTTTGGAATCATTTCTCCTAAAAACCCTCACCATCAATTAAAAATAAATAAATAAATAGGAAGTATTATCCCGAAATGTAGATTGTACATTTCTCACAAAGTCTGCTCCAGTTTAATTTAAAACTAAAAATCATTAATAAAAATGCCTTTCTTATTTGCTAATACAATAAAAATTAAAGTTAATTTTTACTGAATAATCAAAATATCAATTGAGAGTGTCTTTTCGTTTTCCTGAAGGTAAATCCGTCAAACTTGAAACGAAAAGAATTATAGTGAACATGATCACACGTGTGTGAGAGATTGGTTAATGTATTACGTAAATTAGAGAACATTAAAAATCAAACTTTTACCTGACCAAAAGTTCCAACATATTGTCCATCTACTGTCCATAATTTGGCAGTTTTATCTACAGAGGCACTCAGAATGAAGCAACCGGTGTCGTGTTCCACATATTCCACACTGACAATTGCGCCTTCATGTCCTTTCCACACATGAAGCTGTTTCGGTCGATCAGTTTTTACCTGAAAATTTAGATTCAATTATATTATTTTCTAGGTTTTATTCATAAAATCTTATAAACACAAATACAAGATTTTGAAAGTGATAATATATCACAAGAAAGTAATGTGATGAATAGATCTTACTTGTAAGAGAATGTGGTTGGTAAAAGCGATCAGGATTTATGGTTCAAGGCACGAAGACGCGTTTTAACAATTTTCAGAAGTCGTGCAGTAATATTTACGATATTTGGTCACTATAAATACGTGAAATTAACTACACCAACGACATTACAAGGATTATTTTCCATATATCAAATCTGACGAGATTATCGGTACATCTGGCAAAAATTCCTGGTGCATGTGCGTGTGAGGGGTCCATACATAAATAATTCCATCGTTTTACCGGTAAGTAATTGTTTTTTTTTGTTTCTTTACTCATGCCGTAGAAAAATTGTACTGAATTTGATACGTCAATAAACTAGCAATTTTTTGTTTGTTTATGTTCGATGTTTACGTTTAAGTTCTGAATATTAAAGTAGACAACATTCCATTTGCTATTGAATCATTTGAATTTATGACATTGTGCTAAATACCACAAGTTACAGAAGGGACAAAAACGTGGGAAAAAAGCGAAATATTTGCATGTATTTATGATTGGAGTTATAATTTTTTACGGTTTTAATTCATTCATGAATTTTATATTTTCGATTTGTTTAGCATTTTTGTTTGGCAACTATAAGCCATTTATGTTCTTTGGCCAGTCTTTTGGTCCTAGCTGCACCAACTGGTTCGGCTCTAAATTGGTTTTGTTGTTGATAACTGGATTTGTCTTTTAGACTACATTGGCATAGGGCCTTTCATATAAGACTCCCCTATTTCCTGCTGCTATTTCACATCCAGGATTTATTACTTTTATGTACATAGAAAGATTTTAAAAAGGCTGGATGGTTGACAGAGCATTTAGTTTTAGTAAAATCTTCATCCATATGATCTGTGTCTTTTTTACTATATTTTTCATATAGTCGGCGGTGTAGAATACGCCGCCGACTATATGGAAAATTCTGCTGCTCTCCTTGTGGTGTCTTTATGACATTTCAAACACCTTAAGGAATTGAGGATGTATTGTTCAATTTTTATTTATTTTTGGGACTGTGGATTTATTAAAATGAAGGCATGTATGTATTTGTTAATCTCTTTTTTATGGTTATCCTATAGCTGGTGAACCCCTTGATTTTTTTTACGGCAGCATTTATTTCCACTGGGGTAGTCAGGGACAGCTCTATTTTTAATAACTCTTTAAGGCCTTAACTCTTACGTGTGGGTAAGGCTACATTTTAGATTGTGGCAAAAATTTAATCTACGTTATTTTATTTGTGCGTTTCTTATTGTTTACATTTACAAGTAAATTGCTATTTCATTCCCCCTCACTTCCCCTGTTCGAGGATTGACCCTGCAGGTAATTTTTGTCTTTTTTCAAGAATGGAGACAGATCGGCCAAAGTGATTTCCTGTAGATATTCAATTATGAGTCTAGGGAATTCGATTTCGGTTTCTATTTCTGAATCAGAGATTCTGTTATGCTTTATCATGCGATTCCTCTTTTCATTGGTCCTGTGCCCCACTAAGGAGTCCAATTTTTATTGGAAACTTACCAGGTCTGTAGGGGAGCTGGGTAAACTACTTCGCTTTGGTTGAAACGGGTACATCGACCAGTATATTTGCGTCGAGAGGGGACTTCACCCACCATTGCTAATCGTGCTTCAGCATAAAAAAGTGATGCCTTAATATGGAACAGTGGTCAAAGTTTTCTTCTCAAGTGACACTCAGCCGTCGCCTTCTAGCACTTAAAAATAATGAAAGGCTGGGTGTGATACGTTTTGTGATACGTTGTCGAGTTTAATTATATAGGTGTTAGGGCTTCACGCGACCAGCCGTTTGATTGGATCGGTCCTCTCCAAACGTCCGTCTAGTAAGAGTGTTGCACGACCACTTATGCACCCTGGCTCATGGACTGCTCAGCCGACATGTGTCCTCATTGAGGTGTGTCTTACTCTTCTGCAGGGGTGGAGTCGGCGTATTCTACACCGCCGAGAGTGTGGAGAACTTTTTAGACTACTTAAGGATGGGTCACCATTATTTGACCCGGGAAAACTCACTCTAAGTAAGCACCATTTACTCGACAGACGCGAAACTCCAATTCCAACGCTAAGCTGATACTCAAAGACTAAGATTAGTTGGGACAAGGCACCACTCCCACCCTCATGACACTTCAACTGTTGCCCACACTATGACTCAGAAAGCAGAGCAAGAACAATTTTTCAGTCCCTATCAATGGCGACGCCACATTGCTAGAAGCAGAATAGCTTCAAGGACGAAAAACGTGCAGCATGCGATCCATTAAGCCTTCAAGCACTCTGCACAACGGCTGTACGACAATGCACACCACAGCGGACGCACACCGGAGAAACTGCCAGACTCGCAGCATAGTGTCTCCCGCCGACCCAGACGTCACATCGTACCACCAGCCAGATGAGCAAAGTCTCAATCCTACTGTAGCATGAGGTGCTACGGTAGGATTGAAACTTTGAGACCGGGCGCCCAAGGCCACAGGGAGCAAAACAGGAGTTCGTTCATCAAAGCATCTTGAAAAGACCCCCAACTAACTCAATACAATACCTTCCAGAAGAACGGCAGGCAGAAGGGGCACTCCTCTGGGCAAACGGGGGCCATCCTCGCACGAGTGCATACTCATAGACGGAAAGTTCTTAAGGATGTCTGGCAAAATTTGCAGTTTATATTCGACTGCGGACACACCCGATCTAGGAAGCTAATGCGGAGCGTATGTTGACGAAGTTCAACGCTCAGCCACCTTCAGACGGATGGAGAGGTTTCGCAACGTACCTGGGGAGCCGTGACTCACCAAAACAGAACTAGACCAGAACTAAAACAGTTGCACGAGAGTGGAAGCACAGAGAGGCGGTAGAAACGATGAGGTAAATGTGCGAGGGAGAAACTTCCGCCCTCCTTTAATGGAAATTTTCCCCGGGATCACAGACGAACTGTGGCTTCGACATTCTCCCGCACATGCGAACAGTTCATTTCCAAGTGGAGGTCGGGATCAAATCAGGCGCCGAGTATCTTTCAAGTCCCGTCCGTCCCGTGAAAAGGCACGAGATAAGAAACTCCTCTACACGGCCAACATACTTATCGCGATTGATCTTGACCCCTGTTACGGTCTCATACCCTCTGATTTGGCAATCTCGTCAGTGCTCGTGACAAGCCCATTCACATATTCGCTCTATGCCAATGGTTGAGGTTATAGCACGAGGTAGTGTAATTCGGTGCCGGGCCGGATTAAACTTTAACTTGCGAAGGAACGGCTCCAACGCAAGAACAAAGTAAAGACGGAGCAAACAATCTTAACGAAAGAGACAACAAGAAAGGTCTTACTCCATTTACCTTTACCAACGTACCGGGAGTTGCATACAAAAGTCAGGTCGAAAAGGAAAGGTCGAAACAGATTGCTGTGAGAACAGCCTCCAAAAATCGATGGCAAACCCTATCGAACGCCTTGGCTTGATCCAAATTCACCAGCGCTGATTCACGGTCAGCTTGTTCTAGATTCAAGAAGGTCGTCCTTTCGGAGAACAAGTGTTTAAGGCCAATTAGATTAGGCAGAAGTGCCCGCAAACGGCTGGCTAAGATGTTGGCCATGATCTTAACTTGGTATTTGGCATCATTAAGGGTAAAAAATTACTAATTTCATCTCCACCGTTTTTGTCTTTGCGTAGCGAAGATACTCCTAGTGAAGCGTTGAGCTATATACCCTTTATCCAGTTGTAAGTTGGTTTCACCAAGGACCAATTTTATGAATTGGTTTGTTGATTCAGCCTTCGAGGAAGTCTCGAACAACTTTGGACAGACTTTTCGAAAAATCAAACTTCCAATCAAATGCGTGACAGAGGGTTATGGTTTGCTTAATATGTCAGTGTCTGCCGGCTGTCGATTTAGATGGGGGGATGCATCAGAGACTGATCAGCTCTGATGGGGTCGACTTGGTGAGGGGGAGTATGATGTTTGAAAGACCCGACACTGCCCAATGACCCAATTCAGAACATCACTGACGACGCCCTCTAGCGCTAAATAGCGTATATTTAAAGTATATAACTACACTGGGTCAACAGGAGTGACATCTTCATTAAAGCTAAATCTTTAGCTAGTTGACTAAATGTTGTGAGCTCGCTCTCTGCGCTGGGTAGTAAATGTTATTTTTATTTTTTCTTCAACCACACTAAGCGGACACAATATTGCGTAGTGTATAAATATATGAAGTCACACTGTGACTTCCCAAATTTATTTGTAAAATAGATGATGCCATGAAAATATTATCATAGATTTTATATGTAACTGCATAAAAGTGTTTACGTTTAGCCCAGTACAGTAGCCTAAGACACATTTGTTTTAATTCTGTAAAATATCGATGTTCTTACCGTTGGTGTGTTCTGTATACAATAGTCCTTAATGTCCCACACTTGTATAAAACCTTTTGTGTCACCAGTCAAAAGGATTTCATCATTACTGTTCGTAGCCAAGGCTATAACGGATTCATCATCTGTTGAGGGGACGTAAAAACTGCCTGAAAGGACAAGAAAATGTATAACTTACAATCTCGGCAAATTTGGTTTTCCTTACTGGCATCTAGTAACATTGTGGCGCGCATACACATAACATAGATCTGTGTGTTGGAGTTTGATTGAAGTAGATTTCAAAGGGCGTCCTCTCTTTTCAGTGTTTCTCAAACGGTACGGCACGCCTCACAGGTGCGGCGGAAGAGGCTAGCAGGTGAGGCGGAATGATTGACAGACAACCAAATATTTAGAAACAGCTTCGAAAAATTCATATGCCAAAAATAAATATGATTTCAAGATTTAAAATGTTATTATCGATGACTTGAGCATAAATAGTTATAAATAACTATTGACCGATTTTATCACTGTGATATTTTTTTAAGTATATAAAGTATTAAGAATATAGTAACTAGGTTCTGTAAATTGGAGGAGAGAGTTATCAATGATAATGTTCTGACTTTCCGCAGTTATCTAACTCTTCTCTCTCTCTCTCTAACTCTCTCTCTCTCTCTCTCTCTCTCTCTCTCTCTCTGCGTTTTATTTTTAAATGTACTTTTTATCAAATTAAATTTGGTTGGGCGCGAGTAAATTTTAATCCTGAAAATACGACCCAGAGAGAAAAAGTTTGGGAACCACAAGTTTAAATGGTTGCCCAATTATTGTACCGTTAGTAAATATCGACGCACACGTCAGGATCCGGTATAATGATATTCGACTTTCGGCTCTACCTAAGTTGACTGTTCTGCTCTTAAAAATTATGAAAAATTCGGAGGTGGGGGAAATAATTTTTGTAGATAAGGATTCATTAAACCCTCAGCAAGACATATTTGTTCGAATAAAAAAGATATATATCAATTTAAAAGGGGCGTCCTCTTCTTAATATAAATACTGTGTCTTTAAAAATAGTTATCTCTACTTTGTTTTTATTTACAAATACCAGATTTGAAATTGTGCTTACCTCATTGATAAATGCATATGACTGATGTTATTTTTTAATAATTTTTAATTTTTTAAAAACGTTTTAAAAAACTTTTTTGGTGTTAATTATTTATCTTTATTGAAGAACAGATGAATACATACATTTATTAATTTATTACTTGTTTTAATATTTTCTTAAGATAAGTCACATAAAAATGTATATATCCGTTTGTTTTAATTAAATGCGTGTTTAAAATATTTTCTTAAAATAAAACATAAAAGCGCAGTTTTCAATGACGTAACTACAATTCAAAATTTGATATTTGTAAATAAAATTTAAGTATAAATAAGTGTGTAAAATGTTAAGGATCAATTTGACACTGCATTTATATTATGGACAGGGCCCCATTCTAAAATAAGAACCAATATTTTTTATTCTGACAAATGTCGAGGTTTCAGGAAGGTCTAATAAATTCTAAATGATCTGCCCTAAACTTTCCCTATTTTTACGAGTAGACCAGTTGATTTAAGTAATACCAAAATTACTTATAATTTACTCCAGGAACATTATCTTGCTAATATAACGGGAATATTTGAAAATTGTGTGTCGACAGGTACATTCTTTCAAATAAGTTGTGAGCAAAATTAACTATGAGAGGTGGAAGAAGAGAGATGGAGAGAGGAAATCTATATACTATAAGAGGGAAAGGTTATAAAAAGAAGAGAGGACTTGACGTAGACTACATATTTATTTTATTGCGCTAAAAATCTCTGGAAAATTTAATTATTCTTGTCAGCAGCGACTTACAAAGAGAAAATAATCTTGACAATTTATGTTGGATTTTTGCCAGTTTGTAAAACACGTTTTCTGCAACTCATTCGGAATTTCTAGTGACATAACCTTTCCGCCATTGTATATAGTGCATTGTGATATTTTAGATATTTTTATTGGTGCTGCTTAAATATTATTTAGGCTCGTATTAAGTGATGATACTTGAATTAAGTGGGCAATATAGTCTTCTTTTTGAAGACTAGTCATTTTATGACATTATCGCCATAAAAAAAAAAAACAAAAAACGCATTTATCTACTTCTTAGATAGTAATGTTACTTACCTTGTAGTTGGTCTTCAGTGTAGAGATTCCACCAACGAAGTGTACCCGCCCCACTTGATATTAGGGTGGCACCTTCTCGTGGTAAGATTGCCGCCCTATGGCACAAGAAGTGAACCTTCTCTATAGGTGTTGCGATCCTGAAAAAAACAAAACAAAAAAAAAACACATTATATTTACATATTTACTTGATATTTTAAAATATTTAAAAATGTTCAAGGAATTTTCGACAACCTGGATCCAAAACACTGCCTTCCTGAGACTTTGATATTAATTTGAATCAACACTTATTGCAGTGGTTATTGTGTGTAGCTTAAATGTGACACAAGGCCGAAAATATGGAGCACCCAGTGAGGATCGAACTCGCTATTCAGTCGTAATTGAGCGAGACAGCCCCCCCCCCAAGACGCTTACTGTAGTAAATGTAATCTTACTTATAGATAAAAACTAAGATTATAATTTTTTAAATATCAGGAACTGAAATTGTCAGTGCATTCAGGAAGACGAAATGTTCTAAATATGAACTGAAGCGATTTTCAAATTATTTTCTGCACTTGTAAGAGATCAATTTCAGACTTGGCTATTGAATTTTGCTTTAAGGCATTACGTAATTAAGAACAATGTTTTGTGTTAGTGTAGAATAAAACCCATTAAATAAAATGCAACTGACGATGAAATATAACGAGAACTATCGATAGAAAATCATATCTCTTATATATATATATATATATATATATATATATATATATATATATATATATAATAAAAAGAAAGAACAGTTAGATTTATAATCCAGAGTTCTTTAGCATTTACTTTTAAAAAACGGTGCTCGATACACAGTACAGCATAATATATATATATATATATATATATATATATATATATATATATATATATATATATATATATATATATATATATATCATGCTGTGACTTCCGTTAGTCCGTCCGTTACACCTCTAAAATAGCCATACATTGACCGAACGAAATTGTAGGGGAAGTGCAAACAGGTGACGGGGGTACAAAGAGAAGTTTGTTTTACTAAGTGCATAACTTAGTAAAATAAATTTTCATTGCTTTGTTGGGAAAATTAAAACTTTTATTATTTAGTATATAAAATATTCCCACTATTCAAAAAAAAAAAAAAATGAATGATTAAAAATAGCATATAATTATTTAATAAATATGCAATATTGTTTTTTGCATATCTTTTCTTTAAGGTTTTATATATACAAGAATCCAGTTTCAAGTTCGTCCTGCGTTTGCGAGAACTATAAACAAATCACAAGGCCAAATAGTTAAAAAAGTTGGAATTTGGCTCAAGAAAGAAATATTTACGCATTGTCAATTGTATGTTGCATACTCAAGAGTAAGAAATCCTACTAATTTATTCTTCGCCATTAAAAAGGAAAAAAATAACAAATTTTCTTCAAAAATATTGTTTACCACGAAATCCTATAAAACTAAATTAAAGAATCTATTAAATCGCGAAGTAGTGTTTTTGTCAAAATATTTTTCCATACAAATCAGCTTATTCAAATTTCATCGATTGGTTTGCGAAATTGAACGAAACGTAGCGTTTGTAATTCTCTAAAGAATAAAACAATAAAATTCTTAACTGCTTTTTACCTGAATCTGAGTAGCAATTTTTCCGTTTCTAGGTTCCAAATGAGCAAGGCACCATCGTAACTTGCTGTAGCTAGGATATTCGGTGGACAAAAGGCCATAGCAGATATGTCATCTTCATGAAGTTGACCACCTTTCCAGGATACGTCTGCTGTTATATACATGTTCTGTAGTATGTAAAAAATAAATTAAACAAAAAAATAACACAACTATGAGAAAATATAAAGACTGTGATAACATTTGATAGCCTGGTTGTTGTTGATTTTTCGAAATAGCGATAACCTTCATGCTGTTATAGTTTGTGGTGACCAAATCACCTGTACTTTCTAATCGATAAACCTTTAACTTTAAAAATATCAGTTACGTATTAATCATATTGTCGATGATAACGTGGTACGATAAAAAATATAATCTATTAATGCCATACTATGTAGTGGAAGAGTAATAAGATGTTTTTTAGGGGGTGTATACATTTACAAATTAGGTTTGACTAATTTTCAGCGTTACTCTAAGTGGAACTCACATCGGGATCGGAATCATCGTACATCGTTATGAGGCGACTCCATCCGACGGCCAGAATTACTTTACGGTCATTCAACGCCAACAAACCAGTTATTTCAGCTTCGGACACTGGCTCTAATTTGTGAAGGTTGTGTCCATTCTGGAAATTCCATACCTGAAATTAAACCAGAGAGAGACAAACATTTAATGGGATGGTAAACTAAGAAATATCAAAATGTTCGGTACAAATAAACTCCATTTAAATCGTTCTGCCTGTTATCCTCGTCTTTATTGCCATATTCACGACGTTTTGGCCGTTGTACGCTCCGGCCTTCTTCAGGTGATATACATTGGAATTTTGAATCGTTTGAATAGAAATATGAGGAACGATGTAAATAGTGTAAATAGTCACAATACCTCATCTCAGAAATATAGATAGAAAATAAATTTCAATTTATAAAGTATAATACTTAAAGAGTTTGAAAATAGAAATTGTAAAATAAATCTTAACCTATCAATTTTCTTCGAGTAGAAAATTAAGATTGAACATATCTGTTTTCCAGAGGCTTTAGCCCTTTAAATTCATTTATTTGTCTTAAAAAAAGGTATGTGTCCCTAATGACCTCCAGTGATCTTGGGGAACAGTACTACATCTCCCCTCATTGTTGCCTGCCCAAGTTACCTGTATCAATTTACCTTCAATAATATAATTGATTAGCTGCCAATATAAACACAATAACTAATTCTATATCCAATGAAAGTTGAAAGTTGAATTTAACTTTATCTTTCCTAGTATTTGTAAATTTAAAAGACGTTGTAAAAACTCAATATCTCAATTCATTTTGATATAAAGTGTTTGAGTTGACTAGAAATAGCTCATTAAGTGTTATGGGAACTTACCCATAATAATAATGGACTATTCCTGACATTATAAATACTGCGCCTCTCAAGAGGTCTGTGGAGATTGTAAGACAAGGAGAGATAATTGAGAGCATATTGTAAGGACATTGGAATAGTGATACTTGTCGAGACAACATAGTTCCCTCTAACCAAATCTGATAGTCATTACTAATACTTCTACTTCTTTGTATTATATTTCTGTTGTAATATATCTTTGTATTCCATACCTATGTTCGTGTTATTCTTTCATTGGTTCTAACCTTGGACCATCACCGTAGTACAAGGAACTTGGACCATAACATTAAGAAATCTTGACTTTTCTGTTTTGATTGTAAGATTTTGTGCAACTCTGTTTTCAGATAAGAATTACAAGAAATTTAAACACATTTTTAAGATTACGCTTGATTTCATAATCTATTTAAAAAGTAAGAAATGGTCTAAAATAAATCGAAACTAACATCACCTCTGGTGGTCTCTTGTGACTCTCAATGGCAACATCGCAAACTCAGTATCACAGTGTGCTTTAGTTGGCTAGAAATGATATGCTGATCTTAAATGACCTCCAAGCGCAATTTCCTATAGTTTGTGGTGACCTCGTGTGACCTCCGAGAGTAACATCGCATAGCCTATGGTGATTTCAAATGACCTACCAGAACAACCTCACATAGCTTATAATGAGCTCTGAGAAGGACGTCGCATTGCTTATGTTGATCTCGAATGACCCCCGAGAGCAATATCGCTTAACCCCTGGTAACTTCGAATCCCTCCAAGGACAACCTTGCATTGATTATGGTAATCCCGAATGACCTCGAAGAACAAAATCGCACAGGCTACGGTGACAGCAATCGAACTCCGAGAGTAATCATGCGTAATCTCTGGTGACCTCGAATAACTTCTGAGAACAAACTCGTATTGCATGTGGTGACCTTGAATGGCAGTCACTTTTGAGGTTTCCCTGTTATCCATGGTAAACTATAGGTCTATGAGACATTTCATTTGGCCACAATACGCACGCGCGAAAACACACGTTCGCATCGTATATATTACAATGCGATATCTTAACCCACTTTAATTTCAATAGCTGTTGAAAATCTTGACTTAATATAAAATAATTTATAAACAAAGTTGTAGAATTAATTTGTAGATTTAATTGAGAATGAGTGTTATGTAAATTTATACACTTGTTCGTATATATTTGATTTTCAGAATGGAGGTTAATCTTTCATTTGATCTAAGACAAAATTCGTTTACATTTTTATATAGAATACAATTCTTCTTCCTTGTTTCATTACATACATAACTGCAACCTCCGTAACATTGGCAACATATTTCTGCAAAACACAAATTCTACTGTAAACTTATTATCTAGAGATCTATTAATAGCACACAGTATGGACAACTTTCTCATAAAAATCAATATTTTATGATGGATTCTTTTGTTCTTGAATCTATTAAATGAACCTAGTTTTGTAATGTAAATCCTACAATATTGAAAAATTTAAATATTTCAAGAAGAGATCGAGAAGCACATGGTTGTTTACAAACGCAAGCTAACATATGTATACATTATCATATATATAAGAATGAAAGAACATTGTTCAAACAGACAGTCCTGATTAATATTTTCAGTGTGTTGTGTTCTCAGGCTATTAAGTGACTACTCAAATGAGATACTACTTAAGAAAATATTCCTTCATTAGCATTTCAGATTATTATCTCATCAAAAACAAAATAAAACGCCACCGACTAAATAAGTCGTTACCTTAATGGTACCATTCCTAGCACCCGTTAACAGTCGTCGCCAGGAAGCATCAAACTTCATGCTAGTTATTTCTTCGCTCCCATGCGCATTGGAAAAAACGATTGCCTTACTTCCGGTCTCAATATCCCATACTGCAACTGCGGAAGAATCACATCCAGTCACAACCTGCAAACAGTAGAAAGATGACAATAGAGACGACTACACTTAAAATATTTAATCGTGAAATGTTTTTCAACTTAAAAAATCCCAAAAGTTGTTTTAAGGATATCTTAGTGATCAAGTGACGGATTAAACCATCTTCTTTTGATTTCCTGATATAGTTGTGTACGCTGGCTTGGGAGAATAGTAATTCTGTTAAAAAAGGTGATATTGGGAATTAACCTGGGCGTAGATTAATATTTGGATAATATTCAATAGCGGCACTCTCGAGGATTTTCCTTCTGAGTAAGTTATTTTCTTTTCCCATGCCAACGTACACAACTATATCAAGAAATCAAAAGAAAATGGTTGAATCTGCCAGCACAACAATAAAAACAATATTTCTACAGGTGGAAGTACTTGACGTAATTTTCAGTTGACAATATGAATACAATAGCGTTTTCTAAATTCTTCTAGTTATTAAGGACATTTTGTTTGTTGTTAAAAGTTACTTTGTTTTCAATAAATTCATTTCGTTTTTGCCTTGAAAAAGTCTACATTGGACGAAACGCGACAGTTTTCCTATTGTCTTTTACCTTTATACACATTGTTTTTTCTACAGATTAACTCTGAGAAATTTTTCATATATATATATATATATATATATATATATATATATATATGTGTGTGTATGTATGTATGTTTGTGTCTTCGCGTGTATATACATTTATCTATACGTGCGTGCACACATATTTTCAAATAGTTACAACTGATATTCTTTTGGACATTACAAATATAAAAACATATATTACAACTAATAAGCATCAGAATATAAGGGACAAGGTTCATTCCTAAATATATATTTGGCATATATTGGAAGAGATATTGGTGCATGCACAGAAATCACATATCAAATTCCTCAAATCCTTTGACCATTTCTATAAAAAGAAACTCAAATCAAATATTGAATTGTTACCTGTTTGAAGAACTGGTTATAAAGAGCACAAGAAAGCGGCGTCTCATGCGTAGTGGTTTCTATTTTCTTACATTTGGCAGTGTTGCCGAGGCTTAATTGGCCGAGATAATCATTACAGGTTACAAGTAGGCAGCTCTGGCTAGGGATGGTCAGTAGACAGACTGGAAACTGGCCATGTTCTGGCATTCGACCGTGCATACTACTCGGAAATTTCATGGCTACAGTCTGAAGATGTTTGTGCTCACGAAGGTCCCAAACTTTTATAACCTAGAGAGATAAAGAAATAAAATGCAATCATCAGATAAATTGTACCGATTCTTTCGGATCAACGTTTTAGTTCTTATCAGATTTCAGGAATGTCAAAGAGAATCCTTTATTTTATCCATAGATGGAAGTTATTCTCATTCCAATGTACTCGGTAATGATGACACTTTTTCTCACTAATGTGCCAGCGTGTAGTTAAGTATCAGTGACGACTAGATACACACAACGACTGGATGATCCACCAAGCTTTGTTTCGTATGAATTTTGTGCCTTTTAAAATCTTTCTTTTCCACTTAAAAACTTTTATATAGCGTTTCTATGACAAGATTTATTTTGCAAGAATACAAAATCGTGACACAAGACCGAAAAGTGGGGGGGGGCTATCCTATTACTGCTATCTTATAACTAGCTAATCCGATACGCGACCCATTCATTCGTTACAATTTACCACATTCACCAAAAGAACCTGTTCGTCATCATTCAATCCTCCATTCACCATAATACCCCACACACTCATACATACATATAGGGGGCCAAAAAACGCACCCCATGACATGAAAATTTGAAAATTCCATTTTTTTTTTCACAAAAATTTACGAATGATGAGAAGTGGGGGAGATGATCACAAAAAACAAACGAAAATATAAAACAAACAAACAAAAAAAAAACAAAACTAATGTCCGTTTGACTCGTCCACCCCTCAAAAAAGAGAGGCCGCTCTATTCTGCCTTTTAGACAAAATCATAGCGTTCCTATAACAGCCATGGAATAAATGTCTGATAGATATAGTAGACCTGTTGAGAAATGTCTTTTGTATGTTTAAAATAAGTTTAAAGAAATAGTTAAAAATGTCCCCATTCAAATTCACACCATCAAGTGTGAATTTGTCTATCATAGTTCCAGTAGTACTTGTAATTATCTATGAGCAGTTTGAGAAAAACAGGAATCCAACCCAACACTTAGTGAATGTACCAGCATTTCGATAGACAACGTATTAGCAAAGTTAATATTTTGTGTGCTAGCAACATACCTAAAAATATGTTCAACATTAAGAAAGTATTGCTCCAATGGTGGACAATGGAATATGGCGGTATGGAAGTCAACTATCCGGCTGAGATATGGCCACAGCAGCAAGATATATGTGTTGTGTTAGACCATGTGAAAACCATAAGATCACAGTTTATTATGGGGAAAGAAACAACGAAATGAACTTCCCTGATATACTAATAATAAAAAAAGCGTGTGGTCATTTCATCTGCACACTGCCCGCAGACGCTTACTGAACTCTATCTGAACTCTACTTCCCATTATCTGTACAGAATAAACATGTCGCCAATCTAATAAGTCATGACTCTAACATGTGTGAAAGAGAAAATTATTTTTTAAGAAATAACTAATTTTCAAGTATAATATTTGCAACCATCTGAAGGCATAAAAGTTTGAAAAACATTTGCAAACTGGTTAGTCATTCTACCGTACTTCAGGGGCGTGTTTAGTAACTGAGCTACTATTTCAGAATCTTTAAACATGAACAGTTATAGGGATTCCATAATAGGGAAACATTCAACAATGTTCAAAGGACATTATTGCTCTTGCAAGATGATCCAAAAGGCAGAGAATATAGTGGTTGGTAAGATCCTTTAAAATGAACAATACAATGAACCCTTCTCCACCAAAATAACCGCTGGTATCTTCATTACTGCGATTATTCCACTACAGGTCAAGACTAGAGGCAGAAGGTCGTCAATTAATTTTGAGGGTTAAAAGGCACACACGAGACCAAATGCAGAATTCAGAATTTAGATGTATTTGTATGGTTCCAATTTATTTTAACCAAAGGACTAAGCTATAGAAATAATAAGCCTTGCACCAACGAAGGATTTGATTTTGTTGAAAAATTGTCTCATGAAAAAAAAGAAATGGCTTCAGAATCCTTCTAGGATTAATGAACCTGAAGAAAAAAGCTTCATTGATTTCTTTGTAGACCTACTCCAGGTGCTGAGAATCTATGATCCGTACATTAGAAAAATATTCAAAAGTATTTTCACTTGAAACGTTAAGCACCAACGTTGAATATTCACCAGATAAAAATATAATAAAAATGATGGATATAATATTTTATATTAATTGTGGAAAGAAACACAAAATCGGTCCCTAAAAATAAGACTTTGAAATCAGATATGATATATGTTTGGAGGAAAAAAAGAGGGCAAATAACTTTTCCGTAAGAAATTAAACTAAGACAAAGAGAATTGTAAAATAAGATGATTTGAGGCGTCCACACGAATATGCAAATTCTCAAATCTGATACGGTGATTTTCTAAGCGTAGCTTAGATGTGACACGAGGTTGAAAGTATGGGGCGTCCAGTGGGGATTTAATTTACTACTCAGTCGTAATTGTTTTAGCGAGACAAATGGTTTAATAATGATATCAACATTTGGTTTTTAAGAAATTTCAGAAACGAATAGCAGAACAAATGGGAAGCATTTAAGCAGTTAAACATGTTTTGTATTTTGAATTGATGTTGAGCGTGTTTATGCTGCACACTTTCTTCTCAACTAAATGTTCAATTTATATGCACACACGCGCACACTACAAACACACCCATATGGATGCACACACACACACACACATGTAAATGTAAAGTGCATCAGCACAGTAGTACATTCCACAAACGATGCTGGTGATGATGTTGATTTTATTCAGGCACTCGCCAAAGACTGAGACCAACTGAGATCTGACGTCCCTGACCGGAGACAACCAGAAAGGTGCCAGGGCAGCCGAAGCCACTACGCGATGAAAAAGCTCATACACGTGTAGTATATTTTCTTCACGTGATCTTTCTCTACAATTACGATGCAAGTCCCATTCCTAGGTATGCAGAGACGAAATCTCTAGCCATTTTGGTATATCACCCTAGGCAAAAGCTTAAATAAATCCCCCTCCTTTTGCCGTGGTTTACCTCTCATTCCTTTCTTGTTGGCGTGAGTTACGGTACCCTAGACGACACACTGGAACAAATATTCATTAGTATTGTATCTCCCACAAGTCCTTCATTCTCTAGATTGCAGATTCCGCAGAGTTTTCAATGTTTTCTGTCATCATCCTCCTCCTACTCTTCTTCCTCCTCCTACACTTCTTCTTCCTCCTCCGCCTTTCTCTTTCTTTTTCATATCCAGTCTATCGACCTATCCCTTTGGGTGTAAGACATGCTATCAATTTTCTTGCGTTGATATCCAAATTTCTAAGTTTGTGTTCTGTTTAGGAAAGGCCCCGAATATCTTAAAATACCTTTAAGTTATTCAGTTTACTTTACATTACACACAACCTGCTTTTTCTCCTCCTTATCATAAGAAAATGTATTTTTAAATTTCCAATAAAATAATCTGAAAAAAAAACCCAAAGCAAAATGATTTAAATTGATAAAGCAAAGAATAAGATAATAAAAATTATATTAAATTCATAAAATTCAAGTTTAAAATTTAACTTTAAATATTTTCAACTAAAGTAGTTTAACTTATTTGAAATATTCGTAAATAAATTTTACCGCGTCTCGAGAATAGCTAAATATTTGCGTTAATCCATCATGGAGGGCAATTCCCACGATGCCTGTGGTATGACCACGGAGAATAGCCACTGGTTTACTGGTCATGTAAGGGTTCCAGACTTGAACATTGTGATCAGCACTGCCACTGACCAATACGTTTAGAGTCTTGCTGTAATCAAAACATTCCACTCCCTAGAATAAAAATCAATATCAACGATTAAAAAATTATGAAGGAAAAGAAAAAAGAAGAACGATAACAAAAAACAATAAACATTGTTATTTAATATGGAAAATAATTTAAATGTTTTACCTTTGGTAATTTAAAGACGTATGTCTGCTTAAATCTATTAATATCTGAGATGACAAGGGAACTGTTTGGGCATCCACTGGAAGAGATAATGGTTGCATTATCCGGCAAATACTTCACCTGTCTTATCATTTCAGTGTGGATCGATGTCAAACACGTATATCTCACCCACTTGGAGTGCTGCGATTTCAAATCCTGAAATCAAATCGATTTTATTATTTCTCAAAGGTCAGTGTTTATTTCTTAAGAATAAACTACTAATGGAAAAAATCTAACGTGATACATAAACACGCGCGCACACACACACATACACACACACACATACGCGCGCGCGCGGTGGAAGTCGACTCGTGACCGTCTAAGATTCATAACGAACATTTTAGGGGTGATTTCCATGCTGATGACGTCTTAAATGGCTCATAAGACCCGCAAATGGCGTACAAGCCATTCTACATTCAGTACAGGCTGGTGACCAAAAACCTGGTTATCTCGATGTTTAGTTTTATGGTGCTGAGTGAGTCTACTGGTTGATCTATACTCATTGTTTGCAACTATTACACGAAAAGTCTTAGTGGGTATAGAGAAGCAAACACGGCCACATTCATCACAGTCACATTCATCACACACACACACACGCACGCACGCGCTCGCGTAATTAAGTACATAAAATAACTATAATTTAAAGCAATTCATTCACCAGTTCATGAAAGAAATGATTTCATTAGAAGTTGTCTAGAGACTGAAAAATGTTAAAATTTAACATTCAACCACATAAATATGTTGTATTATGATAGATGATCAGGAATAAATATTTTATTTCTGCATTCTAGGTAACTCTTTGCACTTGCTGAAAAAGTAATAAGTGATGAAAAGAAAGTAAGAAAGAAAGAAAGAAAATAAAAGAAAGACTTTATAAAAAGTTAATTTCATCATAGCATTTAATGTAATTTGTAGGAAGACAGATTGGAGAATTCTTTCGTAGAAAAATTATTTGCGTCTATTGTAACGAATCGGAAGAACTCTAATTTGAAAAACTGTTTACATTATAAAACAGTGTGACGTAATAAGTGAAGGTAAAATATTCCAACAAACTTTTCTGTATAAGTCACTCAAACCCACCCAGTCATGCCACTTTATTTAGGAAATACCAACATAATATTTTAACAAAATTAAAGTTTCAAAGAAGATATGTAATTTATTGCAACACGTTTTTTAGATTTTTAAAAATAAGATATTTTAGTTGTCAGGACAGTGGAAATTTCCCTGTGCCACATCTAAACTACGCTTATTAAATTGCCAGGGATATGTTGTCTTAATATTCGACTATTATAATAGTATTATATTAGTATTATAATAATACGTGTAAAGTTGACTGAGCAACGGAAAATGTTAACATTTGGATATTTAAAAATATGTTTTAGCTATCATTTGTTTTGTTTCAAACATTTAGGTACCTCCAAAGAAAAGCGATACCAAGGTTTAGAATGCATTTTTAAAAATGTAATATATTTCTTGAAGCTTTTATTTTAGTTTTTAATTTCAAGCTAATAGGTTAAATTAAATTGAATATTTCCAATAAGCAAAATACTTTGCTGCATTTCAAAGTGAATTTAAATGTACTGGAATAAGTTTTTTTTTATTCTCAGAAAAATGCTGATTTATCTGGGAACTCTTGATTAAGAAAGAATTTTTTTTAATTGTCTATCGGAAGCAGTTTTAAATTCTTATTTTGATGGAATTTCCAAAAAATAAATAGAAGTGGATTGAGTGATTTAACATTTCTCCACAAATCTTTCTTGGAAAATACTCTTTTCATGTATAAATTCATTGATATATTTTCTTTTGGAATTAGGTTACGCTCTTTCTTTTTTCTTTTGCAATTAGGTTACAACTTTTCAAGCACAAATATCAGTTCTATATGGTGAAAATATATAAGTTTTATATCAAAATCTCGTTCAGTCTTTCTTCATACTAATAGCACAAAGATTATTACGACAGAGTTAATTTTTCATATAAGTATTTCGGCATCTATGTCTGCTGACACAATTATTTACTCCTGTCTTAATGGTAAGTTTGATTGGTTCGATAAGGTCAAATTGGAAGCTGACCCACAATCTATTGTTAAATGGGGCAAGAAATGGCTTGTTAATTTTAATGCCTCCAAAACGAAACTGTTCTCTTTTAATCGTTTGCCTTCCACCAGCGTGGCTGATGCTAACCTCCGGAAGAATGAATCATTGCGCCTTCTCGGGATAACGTTTTCTGCTGACATGAAGTTGAAAGATTATATTGAATCAATTGCTAAGTTTTTCTCTCACCAGAATCTATATTACATATTTATGTCTACCATTCACCCAGGCTTTGAATATTGCTACCACATCTGGTATGGTACTTCTGCTATGTATTTAGAGATTGTTGATAAAATGCAAAGAAAAAACTGCAATATTATTGGCCCTGGTCTGGCATCTCAACTTCAGTCACTTTCCTTCCGCCGTAACCTAGATTCCTTGTACCTTTTCTATAAATATTCTCATGGTAATTCTTCTTTGGTACATAGACTCTAGGGATTTAAGTGCAGTACCAGATTGGAGGCAAGGTTTCAGCATTGTATAGTTGGTATGGCTAGATGCAACCGTAAGTTCTATGCTAACAAATTCTATTTTCGTACTTCTCGCTTGTGGAACTCTCTTCCGGCTTCCTGCTTCCTTTGATGTCCAAAGTTTAAAAGAAGAAAAAAAAAAAAAAAAAGAAAAGAAAAAAAAAAAAAGCATTTCTGTAGTCAAATATCGAAATTAAACCTTATGCAGTTTTATATAAAATTTGAGCATACTTAATGAGCTGATGTTGGCATTTATTATATTTTAGTCCCTGGGCAGGCCCCGATGGCATTTAGTGTCTCCCAAGGGAAATATAATCAGGGAACATTTATAAAACATCTATCACAGAAATGGTGAGTAAGAGAATGATTTTAATCAAAGTATTTTCTTATGTAAACTATTTTTTATATAAGATATATTTTTACCTGCATGAAGACTTTTAAGGCTCCCGTATCGTTCTTAAAAGGTGTCTCAAATAATTGTGTCACTGGTCTCTTGAAATAGAAAAGTCCTACTGTACCTGAATCCAACCCGCATACAAGTAGGGACTCAGAGTTTATATTCTGTTAAAAATATAAGTAAAATCATAAGAAAATAATTCATTTCCGAATCAGATGATATATAAATTGTAATAATATCAAATCATAACGAAAATATTTTCAAACTCAGATCACTTACATTTTTGTCGAACCAATAATCAAAGCAGTAAGGAATATCAGACATGCCTGAAAAAATAGTTGAAGACGAGAAAGAATTACCCACGGTTTCTATTTATAGAAAGAAATCTTATGAATTTAATTTCATGTTCTACTTGATGTTATTTGGAAGAGACCGATAAGAAATGTCGCCTTTATTAAAAATGGCTGATGCTAACCTCCAGGAAAGTGACTCGTTACGCCTTGTCGGATTAACATTCTCGGCTGACATGGAAATGGAAAGACTATATTCAATCCATTGCTAGATCAGCTACTAAGAAAGTCGGTTCACTGTGTCGTGCGAGACGATTTTTCTCTCTAGAATTTATCTTACATATCTATAAGTCTACCATAAATCCATACTTAGAATATTGCTGCTACATATGGTCAAGTGCCCCTGCTATTTACCACTATTTAATCGGCTCGACTTCAATCACTTTCCCATCGCTGTAAGGTTACCTCTCGGTGTTTTTTTCATGGTAACTCTTCTGATGAGCTCTTCACTATAGTACCTAAACTTTTTGAATTTAAGCACAGTACTAGACTGACGTCGAGATCTCATCAATTTACAGTTGAGCTGGCTAGATGCAGCCGTAAGTTCTATACTAACAGTTTTTTCTCTCGCACTTCTCCCTTCTGGCTCCATGCTTTCCAGCCAACTTTTATAAAAAATTAAATGCAATGTCAATCGCTGTTTACTGTCCTCCTGATTATACTTTTCTCTTCCTGCTCATTATTTATGTTTTTGTTCCTAATTCTTCCACATCCTGTAACCCCTTGTGTCTTAGTGGCTTTGCTGCCTTGCATGGGGTGATACCGATATAAAAAAAATCTTTTAGAGCACTCAATCAGGATCTTCTATATATAAAATTCTGTGACTTCCGTAAGTCTGTCTGTCCGTCACGCTCTCTTAAATAGTCATACATTGACTGATCGAAACCAAATTTTGGAGAGAAGTGCAAACAGGTAAGGGGGGGGGGGTACAAAGTACAGTTGGTTTTACTAGGTTGCGTAGTTTTTCATTAATTTTTTTGAAAAATTAAGAGTTTTATTATTTAACATACAAAATACTCCCACTGTTTTAAAAACAATTTAATGATTAAAATAACAAACACTTATTTTTAGTAAAAATCTTTTTTTTTAAAGTTTTTATATTTCCTTGAATAGTTTACGAAATTGAACGAAATGTAGAGTTTGTAAATCTCGACAAAAATGTTGGCGATAACTCCAACAATATTAAATATTATGAGGATTTCAAAAAATTCCAGTAATAAAAAAAAAACTCTCTCATCTCACTTGTAAACCACAGCTTTTGGTTTTTTCTTCTTAAATTCTTCGTGTAAAAGAGAATTCGGCCAGAATACATTCACGGCATTTTTTCACTCTTTCGAATTACGATGTTTTAGACGATCGTTTTTGTTGCCATCGAGAAAACTGTGAAGATATTTTGGTTTCACTGCAATTTGTCTAAAAAAGAAACTTGACAAAGCAGTTCGAATTATATCAGAAACAAATCTTTATTAAGTATCCTTTCAGGACGTTGGCGATCATTATTCCCCACAACTTCATATGCCTTGTAGCTTTTAGTAACGTTTACTTTTCACTATCAGTTTTTCCCCTTTCCACCATCTACACAAAAATGTCAGTAGGTAGGCCTGTCCATTTAGCCTTCGATATGTCTCGTGAATGCCAGTTTCTCCAAGAAAGTCGCGTTTGGATTTCGATGTCACATATTCTGGAAACAAAAAGACAAAACTGAAAGAAAATCTAACGATTTTTTTTTGTATTATCACTTTTGAGAGAATATCAGCAAAAGCTCTCTTATTTACCCTATTTGCATGCGGGCTGGTGTGTCTCCCGACCTTCCTCAGCTGTATGTCGGTTAAGGTAATCTACAGGGAATTCGGAACTGAACCATCCATTTAATCTACGGAGTACAGTGGTTGATTGTTCTCGTTCTATTGCCTATGTCTGGGAATATCTCATTTCGTTCTTATTCTTACTACTAAGTACATTTATTCCTCGACCTGTTTCCGTTGAGTCCAAATATAGACTGCCCGGACCAGGGATTAAATTCACAATTATTAGTCACCAAACTCACGAACCAACAATTTAATCTACTAAGTTATAGGAGAATTGGAGCCTTAAACCTAATCTGCTTGTTGTTTGTCATGATTGACTGCACTAACTAAAACTTTTCTCTTTTGTTACAGATGCTTCTGCTGGTGAAAACTTGTTGCCATTTGTCTTTTTTTCTTTATTAACCGTTCCTATATTGTACTTATCTATATGCTATGCAAGGAGGTCCTCATAGCCTAGTATATGCACTGATTCTTTCAGACGTCTAACTCTTCAATATTTTCACTTATTTCCATAGGAGCTGATGACTACCCTTTACATGATCAGCCTCCATACATGATCAGCCATGTCTGATTTCATTCTTTCAGCCCTCACTACGGCTTTTCGATGTCCCTCCAGAGGTTGGTTTGTTTCACTTTTATATTCTTTGCTACTACAAAGAATGGCGTACACACAATTATTGGTCGTGTTCTTCCCGTGGAGCTGCTTGTGATTATTGTTCTGAAGTTGTATGGACCGCAGTTCTGAATTCCAATAAACACTTGACGTATGATAAGACAAGTCATTCCAATTTTCTGGTTTTCCTTCTTTTCCCTTTTGGTTTTTTTACGCTGATGTTATGTTTTCAGGGTAGTTATTCTGAAGGGTACGCTTGATGCTGATTATTTTCTGTTGCTATTTGTCTGAGTAGCCACTTATGATTTTTTCCCGGTGTTGTAGGCATCGGACAATCCCTTCCCTCACAGTATAGATGGATGAAATTGAAGTTTGGGTATTAACTAAATTAAGTTTAGCTTGTGATATTCGGATCTCTTGAAACCATTCTCCGTACATCCAAGAATGCTAGCTGATTACTATCTTCTTCCGTTGTGAACTGGATCGATTGCGTTCATATGATCCAACAGTATTTGTAAGGCTTCTGGTTTTACTTTAATAATTTTAAAATTAAAAATTAAAAATATAGAAATAAAAAGTAACATGTTTCTACATGCCTTAGGCTATTTATCGCAAAGAACTTGGTATTAGCCACACAAGTTGTTACTAATAAGATCATTCATTTCTCTATGAAATTGGCTTTCTGCCAAAGTTGGCTTTTTTCAATCATCAATGTCCATGCAAAGTGGACGCCTACTCGAAAAACTAGTTGTACAAACATATAATTTATCAGTAACGCGGAACTCGATACGTATGCATTGCTCAAATTAAATAAGCAAAATTGTTCATATAATATTTGATACAAGATAATGCAGCAAGAGAAAGAGTTTCAATCCTGACTATAGTATATATTTTCTTTGATTTGAAAATTCCAAATTCTTGCTTTTTAAACATGAAAACCTCGGAAAGTACTGTAGCAAATACATTGAGCAGATAATTATATATGACGGATGCTTACAAAAATAGAGAGAGAGAGCAAGAGAGAGAGAGAGAGAATGATGTGCTGAAAAGTTGTCGGCTAGGCCCACATCTCAAAATCTAACCAAATTATTCAACATTTGAACTTTTCTGGAAGGGCTTCTTAGTCAAGCTGAGTTTTTTTATCACTCACTCGTGTGTGTGTGTGTGTGTGTGTGTGTGTGTGTGTGTGTGTGTGTGTGTGTGTGCGTGCTAAAATAAAAACAACTTTATTAGACTTTCGCTACACGCCGCCAACAACAACTCGTCTTCAAAACAAAAAGTATCACCACCGACATCTTGACCATGTTCGAGAACACCGAAAAGGACAACATTTTCCGATTCGGCTGACGTCATAATATTATAACGAAACAATACAAACAGAACATTTCTTTTGTGATTATGATAACAAACATTTATTCATATAATAGTTATATGTCTATATTTCTGAGATAAGGTATTCCTTACACTCTTTACATTGTTTGGACTGTTCTCCTCATCTTTGTTGCCATATTCACGACGTTTTATGCTCCGGCTTTCTTCAGATGATTGGAATTTGCTGAGTATCAATTATTTCTAGTGGCTGTGGTGAGAAATATAAAAGAGAAACAGACCCCGCCCTCTTAAGATAAGACTGCAGGAACGCCGTAATGCCGTAACACGAGGGGAAATAGAAAAATCAGGCGAGACTAGCCATATATGGGAGAAAGGGCGATCACCACTCCCTGTGGGATGAGGTTGAAATGATAGACAAAAAGTAAATAGGAAAATAGGAAAACTTGAGGAATCAGCGCGTATGCTATGTCATAAAAATATCCTAAGCCGACCAAGCATAGACATGAGTATAATATGGGGACCAGTGCTAGAGAAAAATAATAATAACGACAAATTGTAGTATGAGCTCTGGTAAAAAATGATTATCGTTACATTAGGTCTTTAAGTCCCCAAAATTCATACATTGATGTCCTCAAGGACACACAGCCCATAGGATAAAGGTGTTGGTTGAAGTAATCCAGAGACTTGACCCAAAGAGTTGTGAGTTCAAAAAAATGAACAAAAACTTGGAGAGTTGAGTTAAAGGGAGATAACTGATACTGAGAAATCCGGAAGAGACATGGAACTAGAACAATCTATCCTGGTGGACGAAACAAAGGTTCGGTTCGAAACGTCGTGAATATGACAATGAAGATGAGGACAACAATGTAAATAGTGTAAATACTTATAATTATAATAATTATCAATAATTAATGTTGAAGTTGTTTCGCCAGCTCTAAATGCTGATCTATTAACTGTAGGACACAACGCAGCTCAATATGAAGATGAAAAAAAAGAAGAATATTTACCAAACAAATGAAAATCCTCAAAGTAGTGGTTTGTTGAAACGTCGTAGAACCTCAAATCTCGACTACTGGTACCAACTACAATCTTGTTACAGTTAGCCATAAAAATGGCGTCGGTCACCCACATTTTGAAGCGTCGTTTTGTACCGTTTGTATCCACTTCATCATTACCTGCGATGTTATATGATCGCTCTAGAATTAGCGATGTCGTCCAGACCGTCAGAGCTCCTTCCTAAAAATGGTTACAACATAAAAATACGTATCTAAATATTTCAACTTTCACATGAAATAAACTAATGCAAAGAGACATACAAGAATAAAGTGCATGCTGGTATACACGAAAAAGCAAATAAAGTAAAATATCGAATTTACATAATTAAATATATGAAATTAACATAAGTAAATATAAAATATGCAAATATCGAATTTAAATAAGTAGATTCCTCTGCAAAATAGAGATGTAGCATGCCAGACACATATGTTGATGCACATATCATACACCTTCCCGATTTTTTGAACAGGAGTAGAGGTTCATCCATTGTTTTCTGTTTAGAATTGAGTTTCTGGTTTCTTCAACTCTTATACTTCTGACGTCTCCGCCTGAAATCTGAAAATTTCTTCAGTAATTATTATTTTTTCTCTCCCAATAGGGGTAGATAGTTTTACCTATCGTCCGGTCCACACTTCTTCTTTGTATTTTGAACAAGAGTAGAGGTTCATCCCTTGTTTCCTGTCTAGGATCGTGTTTCCGGTTCCTTCTAAAGTCTACTTCAACTCTATACTTCTAACGTCTCCGTCTGAACTCTGAAATTTTATTGGCTGATTAAATCTTGACGTCTTCAAGTCTGGAATTATCTGTCTAATTTCCCAATTATCTTGCCTTTTCTTACGCCAATACGACTCTTCACAGTAACTCTCTACCTTGAGTGGTCCTTGGGACTTGGGCCTTGTATTGGCTGAACATTAGTAACAAAAAACACCGAACAATACAATAAAAAGGATGTAAATATGTAATATGTATATTTATTTGTATATTTATATATCTAATAATTTATTTTTGCTTTTTGTATCCTCTCACATACTATGAAGCACTTAGTTTTGTGGCCACTTGATAAAAAAAAAGGTTTCATTCATTATAATTCTCTCTTACAGAATATCTATTTTCTTTGTCAGACATGATAGATACACAGTTCAAAGAAACTTGACTTTTGTCAAAAACAGTCAACTGAGCGTTAGATGAAAAGAGATTTTCTTTCTGTTTTATCAGTTGTGTCAGATAGTTTTTTACTCATTTACAACTTTGTTACTGTAAATCTTTTTGACTCTTTCATCTAAAATTCTGAAAAAAAAAGAACACGTGCATTATTCGGCTAAGACAATTTCTGGATTCGTCATTTGTATAATAATACTGTCTAGATTTTTAACTCTTTCCTTGCATTGCGTGCTATAGAGTATTTTGGTGTTATCTACTAGTATTTATCTCATGTTGATAGTTGTTCATGATGTGCTGGCCAATGTGTGCACGGATTGCACTAAGTTTCCACAGGTGACAGGTCAGTCTGCGAGAGAATGTGGTGCATTTGGGCCCAATGTAAGTATTTAATATTGTTTTTTGATTATTAGTATTGGAAATGCAATTTTCCAGGGTGATGAGAATTCATAGAAATCCTTATTTATAAGGCCCGGTATTGTTGTTAATTATTAAGTTAGATGTTTTAAATTTATTGTAGTAGATGATCAACATAAAACAAATACTAGAAGATAACACCAAAATATTCTACAGCACTCAATGCAAGGAAAGCCTCAAAACTCTAAAAGCCCACATTAAATAAAATATCATTCCACCACAGGAAAAGATATCTTAAAGTGCATATGATATCATTAATGTGCGCACATATTTTATAATAATAATACGAAATAAAATAAAAATAAAAATAAAAATGTAATTTAAATTAATAAATAAATAAATCACATTCTTTTTGCGCAGCCTCGTTACCAATAGTACCAATTACACATGACGTCACGCCAGACCATTTCAAACGTCCAACATCCCAAAGAATACCAGGAAGCAAACAAAGGAAGTCTAACTAGCACACAGGCACCATATTGGTTCTTGATGATGAAATATGAACTTCGGACAGTTTATCCACCACTTCGAGCAGAAGACTGAACACCTTATCCGAAAATTGGAAAAATATAATGACAAAATTAAACAGAGAGACTTTTTCGGTTCTTTTTAAGCAAACCTGTTTATATATATATATATATATATATATATATATATATATATATATATATATATATATATATATATAAAATTTAACTAACAGTTTTAGATGTTTCCTCGATCACAGCAATCCTATCCAGTTCAACAGTTATCAAGAGTTAACAGTTATCTTCTCCTCCTACTCCTTAAAGTAACCCTCCACCTTGAGTGGCCCCAGGTCTTGTACAGGGTGACCCTTACTGTTAAAAAAAAAAAAAAAACGAAGTTAGCTCTAAAATAGGAAATTATCACATAATATATAACGGTTCATCACTCTTTGTTTCTAAACAAATTTTCCCTTTTTCTTATTACTTTACTCAGCCGTTAGAAGGCATTTTTTGCTATTCCAATTTACGTTAGTGTAAAACGCTAGGTTCCCTTCCTACCATTATAAACTATTCATTAACGTAACCCTCTACATCGAGTGGCACCCGGGCCGTGTACAGTGTGAATCTTATTGTAAAAGCAAAACAGAAAAAAAAACCCAAAAAACAAAACAAAAAATACAACAAATTACAGTTGTACCTCCCCTTCTCTCTCTATCTATCCTCTCTCTCTATCTATCTATCTATCCTCTCTCTCTCTCTTTCTCTCTCTTTGCATTTGGTTATAGTCTTTATATACCGATCAAAATACACTCGTAAGTTTTTTACAACCTTGACGTTATAACGTTATTAGCCTGAAATGTTATCAATAAATTTTATTTATTCATGCAAACATATTACTTACCTTACTAATAGTGAGATAACGTAGAGGACTATCAATGGATAGAATTTTGGTAGTAGGTTCTTGCTGAAAAAGAGAAGATAAATGAATAAAAATTCGACCAACATAAAATTTTGCATAAAAAATTTCTCTCCAGATTCTATCTTACATTATCTATAAGTCTATCATTTGTAAATGCTCAGAATATTGCTGCTTGTATTGCAATAGTTTGAATTTTGAGATGAGACATTTTTCTCATTAATTTTTCATGAATTGTCTTTGCTTTTCATCATCAATTTTTGATAAATCATTTCCTATTGTCATTTAACTCAAGTTCTCAGTCAAATCCCTTTCTATTTTATTAAAATAAGTAGCAGATTAAGAAGTTGTTTCTTATGCGATATGAAATTGCATTCCTTATTTTGAAAATTCATTTTTATGAATGAGAACCAATTTGGTCATGGGAGGCATAGTTAGAAAATGCTCATCTCCTCCAATTATTCACACTATATTGTTTGTTTACTCCCAGGTAGAAGTTATAGTCTTAAATTATTTAAATGCAGAGTGGCTGACATGAAGTGGAAAGACTACATTGAATCCATTGTTTGGTCAGCTGCTAGGAAAGTTGGTTCACTGTGTCGTGCGAGGCGATTTTTCTCTCCAGAATTTATCGCTTGTGGAATCCCTTCCGGCTCCATGCTTTCCAGTCAACTTTAATCTGCAAACATTTAAATGCAATATTGTGGTAGCATACCTACGGACGATAATGGGTATGTCCCTATTCACATAAATACAGTAGTAAATACTGTATGTTGCTCTGAAACTGGAGATTCATTGTGGAATTCACCTGACTCACTTCTAGCAGTTGACTACATCTACGCGCCGCTGGCGAATGTGTTGTTCGTGTGCTATATATTATCGTTTATTATCAACCTTCGTGTGATTATTCTATTCAGTAACCTTCCCTAGGTTACAACAAATATCAATCTCTATCTACTGTCCGCCTGATTACTCTTTTCTCTTTCTATTCGTTACTAATATTTCTGTTTCTAATTCCTCCACATCCTGTAACCCCTTGTGTTTTAGTGGCTTGCATGGGATGATACTGATTAAAAAAAAAAAATAAATAAATATAGATACCGTAGATTTTAGCAGTTTACTAAATTTCAAAATCTGAATGCATCCATGACCAATTTTGACTTTCTGTATTTTTATAGTTCAAGAGTATATTTGTTTTGATGCTGACTATTCACTCTATGCATGTTCTACAGTCAATTCATTAATTTGTTTTTACGGCTTATCAACCCTTTGTGGATTATTAAATCATAGTTTGGACTGTAATAATGAATTATTTCTATTTTTGCTGGTGGATACTGCATTAACATTTTTTTGAGAATAACAATTACTTTTCTAGATACAAGTTCTACTATTTAACCCATAGCTAAGTAAGTAGTTTGATTCATACTTTTCCCAAGGGTATTTGTGCGTAAATGAATGTAACAAACCCGGCATTCGATCTCGGTTCTATGATCTCTCATTCCTAGTTGATAGGCTTTACACCACCCGCACATCCATTAGTGGATACTCATATTCGAGTAGACGCTCCGTTTATTTATTAAACAGCATATTTATTTATTTTCCTCTACCGGCCTGAATATTCGAATACGAGTATCCACTAGAAATAACATTTAAGTAACAAAAATCTGTTGGATTATATAAACAAATAAACTTGTGAAATTTACCCTGTTTGGTACCACATGTCTGATCTTCGGTTCTTGCAGAAATGGGATGTCCTTTTTAGTGCGAACATAGTCGTTTTCACGGTAAAGCAACAACAGATAAGTACAAAACTCGTTCCAGTCAACATATCCATCACATGATGTGTCCAGCTTCAGAAATAAAGATTTCGAAATATTTTTAAACATAAAATTAAACTCAAACATGTAATGAATTAGTTAAATAATTAAAGTTGTAATCAGTAGAGATTCAGTAAAACTTAACTTAGCTTATGTGAATTTTAAGGATATTTTAGCATATATTTAAATAAAAAATAATTATTAAATAAGTAAAATTAATAAATAAAATGTATTTCTATTCTATAAATATTATACTGATATTCAAGGTGAAAGAAATATTATAGACAGTCAGCTAATCATATATTTTCCCTTCCACTTTAGGAAAAAATCCTTTCCCCAATCTGTATATATGTATATATATATATATATATTTATTAAAGACATTTTTATTTATGTTTAACGTTGTTATTTTATAAACATAAATAAAAATGTCTTTAATAAATAAATTGTCGGACCTCGTCCATTTCTTAACATATATATATATATATATATATATAATACCTTACATTAATTGCACATCTCCGAGTTTCATGCCGAAACAATTGTCAAGTGCTGGAATTATTATTTTTATTTTGGGTTGACAGCGTTTCTTATGTTAAATAGCTCTGTGATTTAACAGTGAGCATCGTTTTTCTTACATTATAGAGTATTTATATATGTATTCATATACGATCGCTCACTCGTGTAACTGCCTATATTTACCCATTATATATATATATATATGATAAAAATATAGTTTTAAGGTATGCTATATTTATAGATAAATGTGCTCAATATCAGAGATAGAGCGTATGTAAGTAAAAACTTGGTACTGACGTCAACACCGAGCGGCGACAGTCTGTTTCATGCTTGAATGCAATCTTTAGGCCATGAAAACAGACTGTCGCCGCATGGTGTGAACCTCAGTGTCTATTTGCCTTGATAATGTCCATCAGAGCACGAAGTGCGTCGACGAAGATAAGCTTTTCTTTTGTCTTTTGTCATATATACATACATACATACATACACATATATATATATATACATATATATATATATACATATATATATATATGTGTGTGTGTGTGCGTGTGTCTGTGTCTGTGTGTGTTTTATTTTTATTACCTGTTGACTATAACCACCTTTCATATAATTATTTTTTTATTTCTCTACATCCTCCTAACTAACACGCTGTTTTCTTCGTTCATGCTATAAAGAGGAACGCGGAAAGTATTCTGACAGTGCCAATAACTCTCATACATCCTGTCTATTTTTGCGTCACCTTAGAGCATACTTCGGATAATCATGCCTAAAATGGACGATGATGCAATATCGCTGTAATAAGTGTAATTAAAATTATGATTAATAACTAAGTGCATTAGAAAGCATTAAATATTATTGCATTTTCTTACCTCAGTAATCATAATTGCTGAAAAGAAATGTAGACTCCACGGATTTGTTGAAAGACCATTTTATTGAAAACGGCCTATCTTATGCAATATAATTTCAAAATGAAACTCTTAAGCTAGCTTTCAAGACTTTTAGAGAATTTAAAAAGTAAATATCTGTCTAAAATGGACTGACCCCAAAATTTGAAAAGGATTCTGAATAAAATAAAACTGTTCCTTCTTTATCAAGACATATTACATAAATGAATGCTATGGAATGACTGCATCGTATGAAATTGTAAATATGATTGCAAAAATTAGAAGTGCGAATACAATTGCTAAAAGTATTGGAAACGTTTTGTGTTGCCTCAAGACTCAAGAAGTATTTTATAAGCATTGCCTCCTAAGCAATGATCCAATTCAGAGAAATGACATCTTACTCTAGTCACAACGCGTTGAAAAATTAAAAGAGCAGAACAGTCTCAATTCAAATTGATGAGTCAACAGTTGCTATTTACTAAGCTTAGCTTAACAAGGCCACAAGTGTGGGCCACTAAGTGAGGATCGAATTCCTTATTCAGTAATAATGGTCAATCAGATTAGCTCACTGTCAATTACAGCATGCCGAGTTACCTCCGGTAAACAAACAATTCGTAATAGCAGAGCAAAATTGATTTATCAGTGACTTATATATATATATATATATATATATATATATATATATATTGTTGTTTCTGCTGCTGCTATTATTATTATTATTATTTAATTACAAAGAATATGTGATTCTTGATCTTGTGGATGTTCATCAAAAGCTAGGGAAGGGCGTAGTGCACGCTCACAGGGTAACACGATGATAGAAAAACGCCATGCCGAGAAATAAGAATACGGAACCTGTTTCCTATATTCTATGTAGGTGTCTTTTTTTTTTTATCCAGGACTTCACAGATCGTCCGGGTGGGTAGGTAGGTGATGCTTGGGGCAACTTCTGCCATGTCAGCTCTTCTCCCTATCAACTTCACGCCCATCTACGTAGTGGCTGACAATACGAAATGGAGGCTTTAGAACTGCGACACGGACATGTCCGTCTCTGGCCAACCAGAACGTTCTCTGATCCGAAGCATAATTGTTAATATAGACCAGCACCCAGCCCATTTCTGTTGTTGTTGCCACTTGATCCCATTCCCCTTCAGTTAAAGTGGAAGCCGCTTAGAAGACCGAACTTCAAAAGGAACCATCTCTCAAACAGTAACATAAAACCACCCTTCTACGTGTGTGTCCATAGTATTATATTATACCTCCCGTTGTTATCATTGTTTAAATGAAGAGAGAAAATGACAGCTACTTCATTGAAATGATAACAAGGTGTGTGTTATCAGATACTATTTATACTCAAAATCAATATTATTTATTATTATAAATATTTAGACATGACTTTTCTGACAGATGCGGTTTCATTTCAAGTAATATAATGTTGATCTAAATCTCCAATATATCTTCTTAGCCTTCTCTCTGTAATGTCAATGACTGCATTGGTTCCTTTTCTCCTCGTGTAATATGGAAACGTCTTTCACGTCTATATAATTTAGAATTTCTCAAGTCCTGCTTTTTCTTTGTACTGTTGCGAGCAAAGGAGATGAACCTATAAATAATCAGTTTAATATTTACAAAGTTGGAAGTCTTTGACAATGCACTATTTTCAGTAATAATATCTGTGATCATTCAGCACCGTAATTCAAATTGTCGCCTTCATGTTAACTTAAATATGATACTGAAAATAATGCTGAAAATAGTACAGAGAAAATCGATAGTAAACATCTTAAGATAAAGATTTGCATGCAAATTTCTCATTATAACGCAGATTAAATGCAAGTTGCAGAAACCTTGAAAGCTTCAATTTCCTTTTTATAGTTGATTTAAACTTCAATATAGGAAAGGTGAATTTGAAGAATAAAATGAAAATAACTGAAATATCAAAATGGTTGAGTTAAAGAAAAATCACTAACAATATTCTGTTTATCAAGAAGATGCATGCTGATATTAAGAGCGTTTTCAGATAGCAAAAACACCGATATAGCTTCGAAATTAGGAAAAAGAGATTTAATGATAGTTTATTAGTATCTCATCCAAAGTTAGCGGCTAGTCAACTAATTGATGACAGCATTACAAATAAAGTCTTACTTTATGTGATATTGGGTAGAAAGAATCTAAGTGAGTTTATGGCAGGAGAAATGCCATCACTAAGAAAAAAACATCGATCAATAAGAAAAAATTGGTAGAATAACATTTGCTAAAAGAAAATAAAAGTAGGCAGCAGAAATACTTAGTGGCGAATGAAAAGCTGAACTACATTCTAAGGAAAGAAAGTTTGTCCAAAGATCATTTGGTGCAAGAAACAACCTAAGGTATATAACGAAGGCGGTAAAATCCGGTCATAGCAACGAAGGCGGTAAAATCCGGTGGTAGCAACGAAGGCGGTAAAATCCGGTGATAGCAACGAAGGCGGTAAAATTCGATGGTGGCAACGAAAGTGGTAAAATTCGGTGGTGGCAACGAAGGCGGTAAAATTCGGTGGTAGTTGCGTAATGGTTTTGGGCTACCTGAATAGCAATTACACAAGAAATTTAATAAAACTCGATTAAATGTATTTCTGCTGCAACAAATACACAAGGAACACAAAAGTTACCTTTGTAAAAAGTTTATGGATGTAGTCATTGTATTCTTCTGTGTCAAGAACTTTGGCAAGAGTCTCTTTAAATTCTTGTTTGTTCATACAACCCGGTTCTCTTTTCTCGACCAGGGACGAAGTAAAGTAGCCACAGTCTTTGCGTATAATGATGTCACTGGGCGCATGGTTATGAAAATGATGCATCAATTGTTCGAGATGATGGAGTTTAATCTTCTCTTCTAACCGTAAATTGTTGTGTAGATTCTTGTCAAAACTGTACACGCGAAAAAAAAAAAAAAAAAAAAAACAAAAACAAATAAAAACAAACAAAAAAATTAAAAAAATTCGTTTATTGTCATTTTGTTACGATGGAGTAAAACAATAAAATTAAATTATTTGAACATTAATAACTTTTCAATCAGTAAAATGAAACGAGAGATATTTTCTTTAAGGTCTATAACAATATTTTTTAAAACTTCTATTAGAGACAAAATGTATACCATTATTAGCAAATAAACAAAAAATTAAAAAAATATCAACACAAGAAAAATAAAGATATTTCGTTTAAATTCAACCAAATTTGAAGTCGTGTGTTAAATTCATCTTTATGCAATATATCGGACACTTATGGATAAAACACACACACACACACACACACGTATATATATTGTGTATTTAGGCAGCAATCCCTATACATATAAATATATGCTCATGAAACGAGAGGGGAAGGGATGAACACAGAAAACGAAACTAATGTATAACAAAAAGTTCAAAACAGATGTTAGTAGGGCCCAACCGCCCCACAAAAATAATAAGAGTGGCCGCTGTATTCTGCCTTTTAGACAGAATTAAGAAGCGCACTCAGGAATGATAAAAAACTTAATAACGGGAAACAAACGCTAGTTAATAACGGTTTTCCAAACCATCTTATAGATTACCATATTAGACTTTTTCTTTCTAAGGTAATCAATAGCAACACTAAACACACAGAAAAAAATAACATTAACATTTTCTACAAAAATCAAATGCGTATTAACTATAAGCAAGACCAATCTTCACTTAGAAACCTCAATACACAACTCCAGTCAACAAAAACAAAAAAATTAAGTTAATTATTTATTACAAAAAATTTAAAACCGCTAACCTCATCGTTAAAAATAATAATTCACCTGCTAGAGAACCATTATTTACAT